CCAATCATATAACAATCACAAAGAAATACACATAATAGAGATGCAGAAATGTCATGTAAAGGCAATGATTGTAGATTAGGAAACAAGAAATTTTTCATTTTCAACTACTTTCTTTTTATATAGTAATTGGGATAAAATTCATTTATCAAATCATATAGCAATCAGATAAATAACCCCCTTATTTTGTAATAGCAAATCAGATAAAGTGTTTGTAATGTATTATGTATGTAACATTAATATATTATAACATAATCTATAATAATAAAATCAGAACTAAGAATTGCCTTCACAATCTCATATCAGAATTTTCATCAAAAGAGCTTTTTTTCCAAACAGAAACAAATCAAATCAAATAGATTAATATAGAAATGCACTAAAAGAATGAAGAAGAACAAATTGAAAAACCTGGGCAGATGTGAACTGAACAAGATTTAAGAGTGGAAACAAAGATGAGTGAACAATAAAATAGGTGAACACTAAACATAAAGAGGATAGACAGAGTCGAAGAACACGCAATCGATCAACACACATGGCTGGAGTTGATAAACGCCGAACAGACAATCTCATGCTAGTGGAGACTGATGGTGAACGGGCGAAGAGAATGATTGTGCGAAATACTCAAACAGGGAGAGGGGAGAGGGGAGAGAGGAGAATGATGGTGACCACGAAGATTGTGTGAGAGGAGAATGACGGCAAGCAAAGGCTAACAATGGAACTATTACTAGAGACTGGAGAGCAAAGTGAAGACGAGAAAGTGAAAGGCGCTTAACACGACGAGAGACGAGAGTAGAGAATGGAGATTGGAGATTGAGATGTGTGGCAGTGTTGGTTTGTGCTTGTGCCTTATGGGATGCTGAGTCACTGATCTAATGATACTGAGATGCCAACAAGACTCTGGACTCTAGAGAGTAGAGACGGCTAGGGTTAAAGAATAAGAGGTGTAGGACGCTGAGTCTATAATACTGAGTCACTGATGCTTCGTTTGGTCCTTGTTGAAAATTGAAATGTTGGGTTGTAGGCAGACGTAGATCCACATATTTGAAAAAAAAAATATAAACACATGTTTCGGGCCGAGCCAAATGGGCAAGGTAGCATACCTTGCCCATTGCCCAGCCTTACCCGAATATCAGCCCAACCTAAAAATGCCCAAATCATGTTGGGCTATTTTTTTTAGGTTGAGCTGGGTAAAATTTTATTAGGTTTGGGTGAGTTTGTCAGGCAACCGGGTTCCATGAACACCCCTAGTCTCAACTGCATCCACCAATAATGTTATGCCCATACCTCCTACAAGTTTTTTTTGGTTTTATGTAATTAATTTTGGTTTTATTATCTTTTAAATTTTTATTTTATATAACTTAAAATAATTTTTTTCATAATTTAATATGCTATTAATTATAATATCATCGTGCATCGCACGGATAGTAGAAGTTAGTTCTCCAAATATGAAGGTGGAGGAAGAGGAGGAAAAGAAGAAGAATAGAACCTTATTAACAGAAGAGCAAACAAATTTGTAGCCAAGGACGATGTGATTAAGTAGAATGGTGAAATCGCCACGCAATTCCTTGTGTTTTGATTGTTGGTTCAGAACTAATCGAGTGATCATCGTCAAATCAGTCCTTTGAGCATCCACCGCGTGATTCATTTCTCTCTCCCTCTCTTCCTTTGTCCCTTCCCTCACTCCTCAAATCCTTCAAATTCCCAACTCTTCTTCTTCTTCACCAAAATAGGGTTATTCTAAAGATTAAATAAAAAAGAGCCTGAGAAAATGGCAAGCGATTGGAGGAATTATATTGAGGCTTATCTTGAAATCATAGGATTATAAAGCGGAGGTGATGCATGTATATGATGATTCTGACTATGATCTCTATGTATAGAAGAAGTTAAGGAACAAGAGAGTAAAGAAAAGAGATGGAAACCTTGCTAGAATCTCCCAATTATATGATGTTTTGGCGGAGTCAATGAATCAACCTTAATCATCAAGATAAACATGTATGCGTGTGTATTTTTCGAGTCATTCTGATGTGTAACCTCAATCTTCTTAAATAGTTGACTTCCATGAAATAGAATACATGGAGAGATAAGGTTTCCATGAATTCTATTTTTTTTTGTTATTACAAGGCCATAGAAAAACTATGTAAAAGGAATATGAAATATGACTTGATTCATGTTCTTTTTGCCCAGTTTTTTCATGGCCTTATACTCAAAATAAAAATAAAAATAAAATACATGGAAATCTTATCTCTCCACATCTCAATTCTATATTTGAGTTCAGTTATGTTTCTTTATTGTCTCCCTATTTCAATCTCCAATCACTTTAGGGGTAAAAAAGGGGCTTTTGTATGTATAATTTTTTATAGAACCAAACTCAATAAACAATCTAACATTTATTATATTTTATATTGTGATCATTTTAATATTTAGTTGAGCTTTATATAGCAAAACTACCCTCTTTGTAAATAATATGACCTTCTTTCAAATACTAGTTTTTTGGATGAAAGCTTTTTTTCAAATACTTAAAGATGGAAGAGAGGTTCATTTGACCCTTTTTTGAAAAGAAAGAAATGACGAGATTATATCTATAAGATTAAATAGTGTTGATAAATTTTTATTGATATGATTTATTAATGATATATTATCATAAATCAGAAGCACAAAAAAAGCATAATTATTTGCCCAAAACAAATCAAACATGGTCCATAAAATTTTTTGAACATTTTAGCTTAGCACAAAGAATTAAATACCTAAACTAATAAATCTTATTTTCCATAATAAAAAATGATAGAGATTAAATATCCTCATATTTACAAGATTAAATAGTATTGATAAGTTTTCACTGATATGGTTTATCAGTTATATTTTCATAGATTAGAAAAACGAGAAAAAATATAATTATTTGTCCAAAACAGATCAAACACAGTTAGTAAAAAATTCTAGAGATTTTAGTTTATCATAGAGAATTAAATATCTCTTTACAATGAAAATTTTAGATTTACATTTATCTTCGCACAAGGAAGCCTTGCAATGAGACTCATTTAAAGAGGCACAAAATAGAACTACTCATGTTGAAATGTCTCTTATAGAAGAGCACACTTGTTTGGATAACAAGAAAGCAATTGGTGAATAACACCTTGATTCCTCCACCTACCAAGAAAGGGAAGGAATTATTGTGAAAAGGAAAGAGATATGATGGACATGTGTGTAAGGATTTGATTCAGTTAGTTAAATGTAATGTCATTTAGTTATTATAAGAGATATATTCATGGATCACTTTATGCAAAGTATTTTAATAATATATTTGTTCAGTGGATAAAAGGAAAAAATCACCTATAATTGATTTTGTGAATGGCAAAATATTCAAAAAACCTTACCTATAATTTATGACAATTGTATTGTTCATGGCCATTAGGCCAATTTACTCATTGTTGGGCTAAAAATGAAATGATGCCTATTCAAAGGTCATAACAGCTATAATAAACATTGGGCCAAGTAAGTGAGTATCAGGCCCAATAAAAGATTCAATTATAATAGGTTCGGTCCATATCATGGTAAGATGACTTGATTAAGTAAGCATGGGTCCTTGAATTCCTTTAGCTCCGAATTACTAGTTGGATTGTTGCCTTACATGAGACCATGGTCTAAACAAGTTCAAATCTCACGAAATCGTGATTTTTACCCACAAATATTTAGAGAACATAGGCTGACAGTTATAAACGGGCCAACACGGCCTGTGCACATTGTAAATAGAAGAACAGCTACAGAGAAGATATATGCAAAAATGCCTCAAAACTTTTAGGAGCTCTATCAATCATTAATTTTTAGCCTTAACTTACCTTCTAGTTTAGTTTATCTTATTAATTTACCCGTTGTAATTTTGTGCGCACACACACTATTTAATCATACTTTTTCCATTTTGTCTCAACTTGCATCTCTGCATCTAGGTAAATTGAGGTAAAGGAGCTCGAGAACCCATTTTATTTGAGACTCAGTTTTTCTGACACGCCTAGTACTTCAATCATTTGGTTGATTCACTTCACAAATGCTAATAGTATTAAAATATCAAATTTTGAAAAAAAATGTAATTTTATTACCTTGAATTTACAACTCACTTTCCTAATTTTAATAGAAAATAATAATCTTGGCTTGACTCATGAATAATGGACCATTGTATCAATAATAATAATAATAATAATAATCATCATCATCATCATCATCATCTTAATGACTAAATTTTAAAAATAATGTGCTATTATTTGAATTAATGGTGGTGTCAGGACCTTGGATCAAGGGGTGCAACATTTTTTTAAACTTCAATTGAATATATTTAAATTTTTTTAAGAACCCAAACATCTTTAAAGTTGGGCTAAATTAAAGGGTGAAAAATATTTGAACCAAGAGGTGAAAAAAATAAAATATATAACCTTCTTTATAATTTTCTTCAAATTCAGAGGGTACATTTACTCCTCCTCACATACACATAGTGCTGCCCCATGATTTGCATACCTCTAAAAAATTGTAACTTAATCTCTCAACATTATAATTTTACCTTCTTGAATTTTCAATTCATTTTCCCCCTTTTTAAAATTTAGAACAGTTTGCATTATATGAAAATATCCGTCAACAATTTAAGAAACTTACTTCACATTTTAAAATTTATTAAGACTTTACTTGAGTAAAATAATTCCATTGGGACTTAAATGTCATTCCCCTATTTTAAAATGGAGTATTCACTAATAATAATTTGATAGGACTTACATTAATCTTATATACTTTCAATTTATTCTTTAATTAATTGATATAATATTTTCCAATATATTTGATTGTTAAAAGCATTCAGGTTATTTTCATCTTATTCTCACTCCTTTCTATGTCAACCAAACATGACTATGACAGCAGCATCGAAATCCCATTGCTTCACTCACTCTTGTTAGCATCAACTTCTTTTTACGTAACAAACATGCCCCGATATTTTTTAGCAATGGAATATAAGTTCTGGATTAACCTTCAAAGTCAAGCAAGAATAAATGATGTCAACTAAATATTCCATCAACAGGGGGCCAAAAAAAAAAAAAAAACTTAAATCACCCAGGGTCTACAAATGCCAGATATATGACAATACATAGTCACGTCCCTCACTTCAGCCTAATGGCAACAAACTCCAACACAATCATATGAAGGGCACGCAATCCAAAAATAAGTAGATTATAACTTAAGTGCTAATGGAAGCAAAATGCAGACAAATTCACAAGAGAGCATGGCCAGATTGTGTGCTTATCAGAACCTTATGTCGGGTCTAAAGATTCCTGCCAGGCAAACAAAGCTTATACTGAGCCATGAAGAGCATACAAGCTGCAGAAGCAGAAGGCCAGGTGTTGAAGGCACAGATGAGATCGTGTGAGATGGATGGCTAAGATGGCATTTTATTACACACACAAAACTTGCCAAACATAGTCTTACACCATGAAACAGTGCCTTTCGATGTTGATTCCTGTGAGACATGAGCTCCGTGCCTCCATTGGATCACAAGGGCTAGGATTCACTGGGTGAAATGATGTCATTTTGCTGGCGCCATGCCTATCTTCAAGACATGCACTAAATCCAAGCACATGATAGGTAATGAATTTGAATGCAAACATTAAAATGAATAAACAAATAGAATGAAACCAAAGAGTAGAAATAATTGGTAAGATGAGTTACCTATAAAGGAGATAAAACACCTAACGAGTCATGAAGCAGCCAAAGCAAAAGTAGGACATAGCGACAAAGCACAAATAAAGAAACCATGACACATAAGCATGAATACCATCGATCTCTATGTTGCTTAGATCCTGTTCCTTCATAGCCTTTATCATCCCTCCCCGTACTTTGGTCATTTAACACAAGTCGATCTTTCCAGCACGCAACTTGATATTCCCATTCCATTGGATCCTGTTCAGAAGATAGAAGGCACTACTTAGCGCACAAAGTAAGAAATCATGCAAACAAAGTTTTCGACAGACATAATATGATGTGTACAACACTAGCCATTCTGCCTTTTTATTTTTGTTGCATTAGGAGGTTTAAAATTTGAACCCTAACTTCTGTAGTCATACTCCATCCCATCTTTACCACCTAAACTAACCTACTGTCTCAAGAGCATTACTCTCTCTCCAAAAAAACTAACTTAATGAAGTATGTAACGCATCCACTTATATATTTAGGACCCTCTCCAAGTCCTTCCGATGTGAGACATATCAACTCCTCCAACCAATCTGTGACTCTCCCCTCACAGGTGACCTATCAACTAGGCAAATTTGGATTCAACTCTAATACTACTTTGTTATAAGGTTATTACTCTCCTCTAAAAAAGGCTAACTCAGTGGGGTGTGCAGTACACCCATTTAGGTATCCAAGACCCCCTCCAAGTCCTTCCAACGTGAAACATAACATTACGGTGGCTAACCCCTTTCTTTCATCTATGCTAATTATTGTGATCACACAAGTCCCATTTTCTATGATAATAGAGAAGCTACTTCATTAATTGCATGCTTAATTCCCCATTAATATGTTAAGATTGTTAAGATCAATAGTCTTTTTGCTGAATTCCTAAATTGTCCCTGTTCAATTTTATCAAAACACTCTAAAGGTGTTCATGGGTTAGGCATCACTTTGGCCCCAAGTACAAGGCCTGGCGGCTGGACCTACAAAGTTCAAAGGATGTTTATGGGTTAGAACACCCTTTGAGCCAGAAAAATAGCATGCCTCGCTGGACCAATCTAAAAAAGTAAATGAGCCACAGCTTATTTTCATGGCCTGCCTGAGTAAATGAGCAATGGAATTGGTGGTTCTTTAATCCATCTGAAAATGAAAAACCAGCGTTGATAAAATAATCAGACGGTTTCATTGGAAGTGATTTCTGCCCTGTTACCCTAGAGCTCTCCTCAAGCGCCAGCTCCCCAAACGCGGATCCGACTTAAACAAATAATAATAATAATAATAATAATAATAATAATAATAATAATAATTTGTTTTTCTCCTATCTTTGAGCGGTTCAACTCTTGCCTGAGTTGTGGACCATACTTAGTTTTAGTTTTGCCAGTCTGCTACTAAAATTGGCCAGTTTAGTCTGGTTTTTTAGAACTTTGACATGCTAACAAAGCTTTCAAAATTAATTCTATCAAAATGATAAAATTAATATATTTTAAGCTTCGCACATGCTCCTTTACGCATAAGTGCAAGCATACACAGATCTAAACTTATATTTGATCAAAATTCTTCACAGTGGAATCAATTTTTTAACAGAATTTAGTAAGCATCATATGTATACAGTGAGGAGAGTAAGAACGTTGTGAGACAGGGAAAGACATGTAATGCACATAATGCCACTGCCCTTATAAACCTAACAACCATACAACAACAACAACAACAACAACAACAACAAGCCTTTATTTCACTAGGTGGGGTCGGCTACATGGATTGCAAGACGCCATTGTGCTCTATCATTTATCAAGCTTTTAGGAATATTATTAATTAAGAGATTGCTTCAATAACTTCCAAGAGTATTCTCTTAGGCCTTCCTCTACCTCTTTTAATCGGACTCAAAGTTATATGTTCCACTCTTCTCACTGGTGCCTCCCTTGGTCTTCTTTGTATATGCCCAAACCATCTCAACCGATTTTCTACCATTTTTTCCTCAATAGGTGCCACCCTCACTTTTTCGCGTACATGCTCATTTCGAATTTTATCTTTATGTATATGTCCGCACATCCATCGTAACATTCTCATCTCTGCTACTCTAACTTTATGCTCTTGCTGTCCCGTTAGAGCCCAGCATTCACTACTATATAACATTGTCGGTCTGATAGCAGTGCGATAAAACTTTCCTTTAAGTTTATTAGGCACCTTACGGTCGCAAATAACTCCTTTAGCTTTTCTCCAATTAAACCACCTAGCTTGAATTCTATGTGAAATATCTCCACTGATTTCGCCATCATTTTGAATAATGGCTCCCAAATATCTAAATTTTTTCACTTGAGGTATAATTTGATCTCCCAATTTCACTTCCAAATTATTGTCGAATAATCCTTTACCAAATTTACAATATAAATATTCCGTCTTACTTCTAATCAGACGAAAACCTTTCGACTCTAATGTCCTTCTCCATAACTCAAGTTTGCAATTAACTTCTTCTCTTGTCTTTGCTATAAGAACTATATCATCCGCGAAGAGCATACATTTCAGAATTTCCCCTTGAATATGTTCCGTCAAAACATTTAAGATCAAATTGAACAAATAAGGACTCAGAGATGATCCCTGATGTAGTCCAATCTTTATAGGAAAATTCTTTGTTTGACCACTAGGCGTTCTTATACTAGTTTTTACCCCCTTATACATATCTTGTATGACTTTAATATAAGCAATCTGTACTCCCTTTTTTTCTAACGCTTTCCAAAGCACTTCTCTTGGTATACGGTCGTAAGCTTTTTTCAAATCAATAAAAACTATGTGTAGATCTTTATCTTTACAACGATACTTTTCCATTAATCCTCTTAGTAGATAAATCGCCTCTGTAGTTGATCTACCTGGTATAAAACCAAACTGATTCTCAAAAATACTTATCTCCGATCTCAACCTGTGCTCAATTACTTTCTCTCACAATTTCATTGTGTGGCTCATGAGCTTAATCCCTCTATAGTTAGTATAATTCTGAATATCTCCTTTATTTTTATAAATAGGAATTAATGTACTTCTCCACTCATCAGGCATTTTCTTGGACCGTAAAATCACATTAAATAACTTAGTTAACCATCTCACCCCTTCTTCACCTAATCATTTCCACGCTTCGATAGATATACAATCAGGTCCGTTAGCTCTACCATTTGTCATTTTCTTAAGAGCTTCATTTACCTCCTTATCACGTATTATTCGATAGAATGACAAATTTTGTTCTCCTTCACCAGTTACTAAATCCTCCAAGTTATTAGATAAACCCTCTCTATCATTGAAAAGTTTAGAAAAGTAAGTCTCCCGTCTATTTTTAATTTCATCATCTGTAACTAAAGTTCTTACCTCTTCATCCTTAATACACCTTACCTGTTCTAGATCTCTTGATTTTCTTTCCCTATTCTTGGCAATCTTATAAATATTTCGCTCTCCTTCCTTCGTCTCAAGGCTCTTATAAAATTCTTCAAAAGCTTTAGAACGAGCTTCACCCACAGCTCTCTTAGTTTCCTTCTTAGCCATATGATACCTCTCCCAATTTTCCTCATTATTACACAAATGTATGGCTTTAAAACAGTTCTTCTTATACTTGATTTTGTCCTATACATTATTATTCCACCACCAAGACTCCTTATCTCTCGGACCATAACCTTTTGATTCTCCCAAAACTACTTTTGCAACCTCCCGTATCTTTTTAGCCATATCCTCCTACATGATGTTAGCATTTTCCTGAGATTCCCAAATTCCTTTATCCAAAAGATTTCGCTTGAAAATATCTTACTTCTCACCTTTTAATTGCCACCACCTAATCCTTGGTGCTACCACTTGTCGACGTTTTTGGATTTTACTCCTAATACACACATCAAGGACTAGGACCCTATGTTGTGTCGTTACAGCATCTCCAGGGATCACCTTGCAATTTTTATAAAGTCTTCTATCTGTGTTCCTAACCAAAAGAAAATCAATTTGTGACCTTGAGACTCCACTTTTGTAAGTGATGAGATGCTTATCTCTCTTCTTGAAACAAGTGTTGGCAATCTTAAAATCATATGCCAATGAGAAATCAAGAAGAGTTTGTCCTTCATTGTTTAGCTTTCCAAAACCAAAACCACCATGCACCCTCGCATACTGACCAGCTTCCCTCCCGACATGCCCATTAAAGTCTCCTCTAATAAAAATCTTTTCACTCTGTGGTATGTGTCGAATCAACCCCTCCAGATACTCCCAAAATAATTCCTTAAAACTGGCTTCTGTCCCGACTTGCAGCGCATAAGCGCTAACAATATTAACAATCTCACGTTCAATTATCATTTTTAAGGAAATAATTCTATCTCCAATTCTGCTAACTTCTACAACGTTCTTCTTCCACTCCTTATCTATAATGATGCCTACTCCATTGCGTGCACTTACTTTTCCTGTATACCAAAGTTTGAAACCTTAAATATCCTTAGCTTTTTCTCCACGCCATTTTGTTTCTTGCAGGCAAAGGATATTGATTTTCCTTTGAATCATAACCTCTACAACCTCTACAGATTTACAATTCAATGTCCCAACATTCCAAGTTTGAAACCTAACAATCATATTTATAAGAAAATAATTAAAGAAGTATTTCAGTCATGAAAAAATATTTTGAAATTTTAATACGATGAGCAACCTTATTGTTGACTTGTTTAGGGTTCATAGTTTAATAAGCTATTTTATTCAACTAGTAGTTAGTTAGGATTAGGATTTTCTTAATTTGCAATATAAATATAAATTTAAATTATATATCATTATATTGTAATTTATCTACTAAGGATATTAATGAAAAAGCATAGATACAAAGGTAAAGATTTACATATGATGTTTGTTGATTTGAAAAAACCTTATGATCATGTATGAGAGGAGTACTTTGAAATGCACTGGAAAAGAAGGGTGTCCAGGTTGCCTATATTCAAGCTATAGAAGATATGTGTGAGAGGTCAATAACTAGTATAAGAACGTTTGGCGGTGAAACAAAAGCCTTTCCTATAAGGATTGAACTGCATCAGGGATCATCTTTAAGTCTTTATTTACTTGACCTGATCCTATATGTTTTGACTGAGCATATTCAAAAGGAAATCTCCAAATGCATGCTTTTTGTAGATGATATAGTTCTTATTGCGGAGACAAGCGAATAAATTAACTATAAACTTGAGTTATGGAGGAGAACATTAGAGTTAAAAGATTTTCTCTTAAGTAGGAGTAAAACGGAATATTTACATTGTAATTTTGATAAAAGGTTAGTGAATAGTAATTTGGAAGTGAAATTAGGTAATTAGAGTATATCTCAAGTGGAAATATTTTTGGGAGTTATTATTCAACATAATGAGAAAATTGATAAGATATTGCACATAGAATATAAGTTAGGTGGTTTAATTGAAGAAAGGCTAAAAGAGTTATTTGTGATTGTAAGATACTCCCTCTGTTTTTATTTATAGGAGAAATTGTCACCTTTGCTTTGTTTTTTTTACATAAGCAAAATCACATTTTTCAATAAACATTTATTACAATTTTTTTCAATTACTCCTCATAATTTCATCATTCACAATCATGAGAAAAAGAGTGAGATTAAACAAAGGGTATTTTAGTCTAACTTCTTTATTTTCAAGTACAATTAATACAAATGACCAAATTTCTTAAACTGTGTCATACAATTTTATTTCCTACAAATAGTAACGGAGGAAGTAACTAATAAACTTAAAAGAGAAGTTTTATTGAACTACTATAAGACCAATAATGTTATATGATAGTGAATGTTGGGCTTTAATTGGATAATAAAAGCATAAAGTTTGAGTAACAGGGATGAGAATGTTAAAATAGATGTAAGGACATATACATAAAGATAAAATCTAAAATGAGTGCATATGGGAAGAAGTGGGTGTCGTATCTATTGAGACAAAAATAGTAAAAAATCATTTAAGATGATTTGAACATATTCAAAGAAGACCACGAGAAGCACCTATGAGGAAAGTAGAACAAATAACTTTGAGTCTTATCAAGAGGGGCAAGAAAAGCCAAAGAGAACACTTTAAATTGTTGATCGAAACCTCTTAGTTAACAACATTTTTAAAAACTTGACAAATGATAAAATCTAATCACATCGTATAATCCGTGTAGCCAACCTCACTTAATGGGATAAAGCTTCTTCTTCTTCTTGTTTGTTTATCATTATATTGTAATTTAATGTAACCTGGGGCCCATATATAAAAACCATACCTGCTAGGGTTAGTTTAGAACAATCATTAAAATTCAGTATTTTGTTCGTACTTGGCTTGTCTCCACTGCTTTTCCTCTCCATTTCCTCTCCACTACCCAAAAATAAAATCTGAACTGTCCATATTTGGTGAAAATTAAATTTGGACAGTTCAATTTAAAGTTTTTATTTGTTTATTTATATTTATATTTTATATTTATTAAAAATAAAATTAAAATTTTTGATACAATTTATTTTATAACCAACCAAAATAATTCAAATTTAATTTGAAGGATTCAAAAATTATAAGTATAAAATATACATTTTAAATTTGGACCATGCAGATTTAATCTGCACCAAATTAGAACTGCTCATATTTTATTGTAGGGTAGCGGAGAGGAAATGAAGAGGAGGGTAGTGGAGACAAGCCAAGTCTATTTTGTTCAATACCGAATCCGGTTTCAGCGCTCATTGTCCGGGAAACCAGATTTTTTTAATTTTAATTTTAATTATAAATTTTTTTGATAAGTATATTTATTATCAATCTGAACAATATTGATTCAATCTTGAGACTCTAAATAGTTTAATTTAATATTATAATTTTTATAAATTAACTATCTAGATATACTCTGGACAAGACAAATTCAATATTAAATTTTTAATAATTTTTTATTTTAATAAATATAAAATAAAAATAAAAATAAAAAATTTAAATTTAGACCTTGCAGATAAAAATTTATATTAAATTTGGACTATCCAGAATACATCTAGATAGTTAATTTATGAAAATTATAATATTAAATTAAATCATTCAAATTAAATCAGTACTATTCAAATTGATGATAAATATATTTATAAAAAAATTTATAAATTTTATTTTTATAAAATTAAAATTAAAATTAAAATTAAAATTGAAAAAAATATGGACCATCCAAATTAAAATCTGAATGGCACAAATCTTCTTAGACCATGAGCACCGAAATTGGTTCTATTCAATACCACCCCCCCTTAGGGGGGTTTTTTCTTTTTTTTTTTTCCTTTTTTCCACTCTCGCGTTGGTCACACATCATATATCAGCCCAGAAGACACACTAATGAACTGATGAAGGGAAAGGATGAGCAGGACGGGCTGAGATGAGGTACCAAAATATGGACTTGGTTCTCTCCTCTCACCCCTCCCCACTCCTACTCTCACTGCTCCTCTAGAAAATTTATACCATCCTGATTGAATATTTAATTTTTATTTTTATTTTATATGTATTAAAATAAAAATAATAAACTTTTTTATTAAATCTGATTACCAATTTGGATATTCAAAATTTAATATAGATGATCTAATCTTAATCTTAAATTTGCACTATCTAGACTCTAAAGTATATTTAGATAGTTAATATATAAAAATTTTTAAAAAATTTAATATTAAATTTAAACCACCCATGTTAAGTTTGAATTGTTTAGATTGGCAATGATTAATGAAACATATTTATTACAATTTTTTCTAATTTTTTAATAAGTATAAAAATTAACATTTTAAATCTGGATCGTCCATATTTATTAGACCTGCCAGGCACAGTGGAAGGATTCCCTCCAACTCCGCCAAAATATCAAGGCACACTAGCAAATCAACCTGGCAGAGCAAATAACCACTAACAGTGTTTCTTAAAAAAAAAAAAAGGTACTTCTCAATGATAACCGTACCTCGGATAATGTATTACTGTCCTTTTCCTTATTAGCATCGTCTCTGTAGACAAGCATATCCTTGTCTCTGGCTTTCCCAACATTTCCTGAGCTCTCTAGGATTTTCTCTTGCATGCCAGTTGAATGCTGCTGCCGTTGCAAATCTGAAATTCAAGAACTAGTTGATTATCACCAGTTTATCAATGATAGTGCTTTGAAACATATTTGTGCAAAAGCTCTTTGCTAAAAGAAAAAAAAAAATTGTGCAAAAGCTCCTAAAGTAATTAATGATATCCATAAAAGAGCAGACTCTGTGATCAACGTTAAATGCAAAAACTTTTTAGAATCGAACCATGCTTTCTTGAATAGCTGAGTTTCTTTACATCTCTACATTGAACTTGCATAAATTTCAAATGATGAACAATTTCATCGTTGAAAGGATCTTTTACTTGTGTTTAAACATTGTCAGTCCTTAACAACTGAACACTAGAATAAAGCTAACATTTTGAAGTCGAAACTTATGAATGTTTGCTTAGTTCAAGCAATATTGTCGAAATAACATGAAAATACTTAAACATAGAAGTAAAACCAATATTTATCAACGAAAGGCATTAACATCCTAATTAGTTAGTTTTGTGAGGTTGCGTGAGCTGTACCAGTCTCTTTAACTCCTTTAAAAGCAACCTGATCAGACTCTAACATGCTTTCCGGTGAACATGGAACACTTTCAGCTTTAGTTAACTGTCCTTTTAAAGATGAATGATCATATTCAGTATCAAATGTATTACTGCCCTTTTCCTCATCAGCATTATCTCTGTAGACAACAATATCTTCTTCTTCGGCTTTTCTGACATTTTCAGTGCTTTCTAGGATTTGCTCTTCATTATGAGCTAAATGCTGTTGCTGTTGCAAACCTGACATTAAAGAGCAAGTACTTTATCACCAGTCCATCATCAATAGTGATTGTAACATAAGTTGTACAAAATCTCCTTCTATGATCAATGTGGAATTTCATTGAATGCAAAAGCTTCTAGGAATTGCACAATGCTCTTTCTTGTGTACAGCTGAATTTCCTTGCATCCATATTAAACTTGCAAGAACACCAAATATTGAACAATTTCATTGTTGAATTATGTCGTAAACATTTTTATAGCCATTCAAGGTCTGAAATTGAGACTCTACTATTCCTAACAAGTGCTAAAATACCTTGAGAATCTTCAAGACAAACACGAAACAAATATTTACCAATGAAACCATGTTAAACAAATATTTACCAATTAAAATTAAACCATGTTACTTTTGTTTAATTATAAAAACAAAATATCATTTGGTGGTCTAATGGTAATTAAAAAAACAACAGGTTTTGAATGAGTTTAGACCATCAGGGGATAAAACTGATTATTGGATAAACCACATGGGATAAATAAAAATGTATCCTAAATTCAATTCACAAAATGCTTTAGGCAATGCTTGACTTAAAAAAAAAAATTAAAATAAAAAAAAAAGCCAAAACAACTGAGCCTGTAGCTGAATAGAAGAATTCTGGTAGTAATTGGAGCATTCTATCCTCATTTATCAAACTAGAAGAATTTTCCAGGAGACCATTACCGTCACTATTAATGTCATATGAATTCACATCGCTGCTAGAGCTCTCATACGCTTCAATTGCATGATAGTATTTGTAATACAAGCTGTCTGCGTACCAAAACAATCATGAAATTAGATTTTTAATACAAGAAAAACAAACTATATGTATGCATATGTATGCATTCATATCACTATTACCTTCTCTACTGCTGTCACTATAAACCCAGGACATCATATCTTCATCACAAAACCAATCCTCCAGTATCCTCTTTGGAGGGTTAAGATTTTCCAATAGGATATCATCCATGCAACTTTCAAGGTTGTAGACATAAACTCCAATGCACTTTACAAGTACAAAGGCATCCGAGACATCTTTATGGTATGCACTACACGATATCTGGACATGATTGAATTTTTCCTCTGGAAGTTCCCTCCTAAACTCAAACAGACTTTGGTGCCACAAATCATCAAACAGATATATATGGCCAGTCTCTATATCTAAAACATCAGTCTTCACAACAAAATTGTGAGTGTCATTGATGAGAACTTGAATTTCAAACTCAAAATGGCAAGAGCCTCTTCCTTTGACATCAAAAACAACACAAACAGCAATTTCTGGAAATCTCTTGCGAACCCTGAAAGCAACAGAACTTCCAATGTTAGAGCATTGGAAGCATGCTGGGATCCATTCCCCAGGCAGTATAAATTTTGTGTTCCCAGCCTCATGCAAAGCCTGCGAACAAAACACACATACAAGCATACATTCATACATGCATATACAATAATTAAAAGTGTCTGAAATTTCACCAAAAATTGCTTAACAATTGTGATTGCGAGTTAAAAATTGAGAAACCTGGCTAAGTAAATCCAGGGTCATGGAAGTCAATGACATGCAGTTTACTGCTGATAATACTTTAATGTTTGGCGGAATCACGCTAATTTCTCGAAGTTGTTTGCACCTATCCAAATAAAGTCGCTTCAGACTGCTACATTCTTGGATAAATGCAGGAAGGACAGTGATATTATTGTCACGTAGCTCTAGAACGTGTAATCCGGGAAACCATCTAAGAATCAAAGCAAGAAGCTCATCTGAAATATTATTTTGGTTCAGGTGCAATCTTGTGACATGAGAGAATACAAGATTCACTGGCCACTTTACTTCTTGATCTTTTAACCAGTTAAATATCCCACATGATCCAGCTTCCAATCTTAAAAGTTTTGTCAACTTACAAAAGCTATCCACTGGTATCTGACGAAGACTACTGCAGTTGTGTAGGTATAAACATTCAAGCCCAACAAGTTTCTCAATGGACTCTGGTAGTTTTTCAATGGCAGTGCCACTCAATGCAAGAGTTTTAATGCTATTCATTTTTTCTAATATTTCTGGAAAAATTTGAAAATCTGAGCACCCTGTGAGATTTAAAATTTCAAGAGATGTCAATTTGATGCCATCTTCTATAAAACTCTTGAGTTTGGTGCACCATTGAGCTCCCAACACTTTAAGTTTAGCAAGATGTCCCACGGAACTACCAATCGTCGTTAAATTCTTGCAATGTGCAACATGCAATTCCTCCAAGTTCAAGGCTCTAGACATATCAGGTACTTCCATCAAATTTTCGTTGTGCTCAAGATTCAAATAACGCAAATTGCCCCACTGTGTGACCAAAAAGAAAGAAGTTACATATGTTAGATGAGGAAGAAGAATTACTTAGTGGAAAATTTTCCAACAACTCATTTGTAATGAAGTACGTATGCTGTGTTTATTTTTAATACAATAATAGACCACTTAAGGTTTACATCAATACAAATCTTGTATAAATGTCAATAGCAATAAATCTTATGTGAAAAATACATCAATCTTAACGGACATATACTCATGAAAGATTTACCGCATTTTAAAAAGTTCAAAAACACAATCATTTTGACACAGGAAATTATTCAAACTATTAATGTCAACAAACTAGTCTTATTTTATTCAGCTGAATTCTTTACATATTAAACAACAAAATCAAACAAAAGTAGCAAGGTTTTATAATTACCTGGAATGATTGTTTTTCCAGTGTAACAAGACGACTATAGGGCAAGTTGAGTATGACAAGATTTCCAGGATTAAAATTTGGTGGCAATGTTGTTGACGGATAACCCATCCAATCCAGCACCCTTAAACTACTTGGCAGAGATTTAGGAGGAGATCCAGAGAACTTCGCATTGTTGATGATGAGTACCTTGAGACTTTTCATCTTATCGAAGGCTTCCTCACTACAACACACCTCTCTAACATTAGAAAAATCCAGCTTGATAGCTTCAAGTTCATCAGTTCCCTTTGAAATACAATGTAAAAGAGAAACAGAGTAAATTCCATGTCCTCCATCAAGTAAAAGTAATTAATTACAATGCATTTCCCTTAGAAAATCTATTTTTTTCAATATGATTAATCAGATTTATATTTCTTGACAACATAGAAATTTTGTAAAAGAATCAATTATAAGAACTAATGTGGTCAAGTAGTAGTTGGAGTTCTCAGCAATTAGCAATGGATCATAGTTTTAAACCTCGCTCTTTATTATCCACTAAAAATATAATCAAGCATAATGCTTCAGTTTTTTTTTAACATTTCACGTTATTAAAAACATGAAGAAAAAAATTTATGCTAAAATTAAACCATTTGCTCTCGAAAACTTTCAAAATAAATAAATAAAGTTCTGAGCAATGATGGTTTTCCTCATCCATCTACTTTATCATATCATATGTCTGAGTTCTTGATGAATAAATAATTATCAATATCACTAACGATATCTCATTAATAGGGACGCTTAAACATAACGACAGCACAAAGTGACACATACCATACATTCTTGTAAGACATGAAGAATGTCTTCCGAGGACCACAACCTACTGCGTTTGCCTGGCTTTAATGGTGATTGCTGCCTTACAATTTCCCGACCCATATCTTGAATCAAGTCATGCATTTTGAGACCACCCTGATCAATTTTAACAAGACATTTATCAATCAATGCTCTAATGCAAGATTCTGGCCGAGAACCATGGCTACACCACAGCATATTTGTGGCATATTTCGACCTGCATCCTTTGTAGAAACATGCAATATCAAGAAAAACTTGTTGATGTTCTTCTTCCAAGCTATCGTAGCTTACTTTAAGAAACTTGAGAACAGTTTTTTCAGGAATTTTTTTATATATATCTAGAGTAGATTCCCATTCATGTACCGTTAGATCACACAATTTAGAACCTAATGTTTCCAAAACCAATGGAAGTCCACCAGCATAATGTACAGCACGATTTATAACATCCTCATACTCAGGATCTGCTTCTTTGTTTCTAAAAGCATTCCAGATCAGTAGTTCTCGGGCTTCATCCTTGTTTAATCCTTGTACCTCATAGATTCTGGAACCTCCATGCTGTTTAGCCAATTTTTTATCCTTTGTTGTTATGATGATTATACTGCCAGAACCAAACCAGTCAGGTTCTCCTGCCAGTGCTTGTAACTGCGCTGGTGAGTCTATATCATCAAGAATCAAAAGAACCTTAATATTGCAAAGCCTATCTTTTATAATTGGAATTCCACTTTTGTCATGTTCCAACCCAATATCCTTCTCCCTAATAGTTTTGGAAAGCAGTGTTATTGGAAGATCTTGGATTGGCTTTTCTCTAATATTGTCCAGGAAGCATACATGTCTAAATTGACTTGCCATCTCATTGTACACAGCTCGCGCAAGTGTTGTTTTACCTACACCAGGAAGACCGTAAATTCCTACCATTTTAGCTCCATCACAATATGGCTGTTCATTCAGAAGTGAGCATACTTCTTTGACCCGAGACTCAAGTCCAACTGGAAATGGAGCTACATGGAAATGGCCAATATTGATCTCTTTGGACACCACTTCAATTATTTTTTCTATAATCTCATATTCATATGATTCGGTGCTGTCCAATCACAAAAGTCAGTCAAAATCAAATATCTCTTTAATGTAAAAAGTTTCATTTATGCAGCTGTTTGATCTTAAACTTTTACTCGAGCACATATGAGAGTGAAGAATTATTCACAAATACTATTAAACTGATTCGTTTTCAAGTATATAAATTCATCACTTGTGAGTAATTTCGCTAATAATAAATTTTATTGTGTATCTATCTGTGTCTGTGTGTGTGTGACGATCATATACTCTTCATATTTGTTAGTTGTTCTAAATCTAATTAGGGAATTATAAATAGTTATCATTTTTCCAAAAAAATAATATCAAAAATAAAATATTGTAATTATCATTTAAGAAATAATTGTGAAAACATTTCGTAACAATATTTTTTTATGAAATTTAGCAACACTATTTATTTACTATATTAGAAAGACATCTTTTCAAAAATATAAGCCATTTTTTTCCACCTAAAATTGATTCAAAATATAAAAAAAAAATTAATTTTTTTAGAAAATAACTTTGGGGAAAATCACTATGAAGTCCTTCACAACCATTCAAAATACCCAAAGGTTTCATAAAATCCCAAAATGGCTATCAAGTCCCTAAAGGCTTAGGGGTGAATGAGATTGAAATGACAATGACTAAAATGCCCATGTTTACATACCCAAACAAGTTTGGTTGCACTTGTTACTAGCTAATGCCTCACTTGTTAATAGTCTTTGTCCTAAGATAAATAACCATTGTTAAATTGTCAACATGGCGTCTCATAACATGAGTATTTTGGTGGGACTTTTGGGTATTTTGAATGGTTGTAAGGAACCTCATGGTGATTTTCCCAATATTTTTTCCATTTTTGACTTTCCCACATGACATCCTCGTTAAAAATTATTGACATAAATAATCTATTTCTAATTTAACTCATTAGTGATAGTTGGGGTTGAGGGTAAGCTAAGAAAATTACAAACATACTTCTTTCGTTAAAAAATGTAAGGCATTTTTTGAGGAATTAAATCTTAAAAAATATAAGGCATTTTTAATTTTTCAAAGCATAATCATTATCTTTTTTTTAAAAGTGCTCTTATTGATGAATAATTTTATATTTATTGTAAGGTATTTAATAAGAATAAATATAAAAAAATAGAATTAATTTAAAAATAAATAACTACTTTATTAAGAGGTGAGATTCAATTAAAAATACACTATATTTTTTAATGGAGCGAGTAACTAAATTTTATTAATATGCGAATTAGTGTTAAAAGTTGCCAGAAAGTATAAAATATCTCTTGGGGATTTATCACTCAAGCAGTCCCTTTTTTTTTTTTTTTAAGCCAGACGCTCCAGCAGTCTTTTTATCCTTATCAAATCCTAAAAATATCATAAATTTATTTATTTTGTAGGATTGGTATGACAAAATTGGAAACTAAAATCAGAGGAAAAAGATAAGATACAGAATAAAAAAAAAAATAGAGGCTGCGCACCTTGGTTTCACAGACCAGCCAACCAATTCAGCCGCATGAGACAAAGCCAATCTCCAGCGCTCCACCAACTTGTCATCCTTGTCTCCCTCATGCTTGTCAAATGCAACCTTATAGGATCCCTTCTGATATCGCACATCAGATGGATCCACATGGTAAAACACGGGCCAAACGAATCGACCATCTCCCTTGACGCAATCAAGGATCTGAACCAGTTCCTTCAGACAAAATGTTGAGAACGCGTAGTTTTCAGAGAAAATAACAATAGCATTCTTAGATTCTTGGATTACTTTGAGAAGAGTCTGGGTAATCTGCTCCCCTTTTCTAATCCCCTGATCGTCAAGGAATGTGCGGATCCCCCTTTCACGGAGGTCGCGATACAGATTTCCGGCGAAACCGTGGCGGGTATCTTCACCTCTGAAACTCAAAAACACGTGATATTTCCACCCGTAGCTGAAGGAGGGGGAGGAGGATCCTGCGTCTTCGTTCATCGTTGCTTTCGGGGTAGCATAGCCTTGAGCGCTCTCGCCACGGGCTGTGCTGCACTTACAAGTTACAAGGCCTTCTCCCTCTCTTGAAGTCAAGTAGTCAACTCAAGAAATGTAAATGTAGGGTACGTTTGGATTTCAGTTGGGTATAATAGATTATGAAAATAATTAATTAAGTGGTAGATTTTAATTATAATTGATTATGTTATAACGCAATTTGTTTGGATACTGTTTTTCTAAAATTGATTTTAACAGAATTGAATATATTTAGATAATTTAATCAAAATTAATTTTTACCTATATAAATTACTATATAATTTAATTTTTAAATATCAAATATTAATTTTTTAAATATACAAAGTTTAAATTTTATTAAGGAAAAAAAAAGGAAAAAGAAGAGAGTTTAATTTATTTTTATTAAATTATGTGCTTTTTTTGTAATTTTTTCCTGAGCTTGTTTTTGTAATTTTCCCCAACATTTTTTACAAACGTTTATCAGGAAGCTGATCGAAGTAGCTTACGGTAAAACGCGCGTATGGGGTCAAAATCGATTTTCACCTTTTCTGACCGTTTGGCTAATTTACTGAAATAATCGATTTTGGAGGGGAAAAATCGATTTTTTCCCCTATCCAAACACACCAGTAGTAAGAGTTAGGAAGGAAGAACACGAGGAGGGGAAATGAATGACATGAGAAGAAAAATAAAGATGCTTTTAAGGTGCATTTGGTTATTAAAATAAAGTAAAATAAAATAAAATAAATACACAGGAAAAATTAATACCGTGCCCTTATAGTTTTTTCAAATTTTGAATTAAATCCTTATGTGTGTGTGTGTGTATATTTTTTATTGAGTCCTTTAAGTTTTCTATGTTAAATCTGTTAGTCTTTTATGTTTAAAACTATTAAATAAATGCTAACAATGTTAAAAAAATCTGTTAAATAGCCATGAAGTGGCAGTCAAGTGGACATAATTTTACAAGTGGGATTCAGATGAAAAATATATGCCACATAAGAAAGTAATTTTTTGATAAGAAAATAGAAAACTGCCGTGACTTTGCAATCTGACTCTGCTCACATTCACCAAGATTCAGGTATGCATAAAAAAGAGGAGGAGAAAGGAAGGAGGTTTAGCAGAGACACAGAGAAGCTAGTATTCAAAGTGGAGATGGAGATAGGGCTACACGGGACATTCAGCTTCTTCCACGACTTCTCATGTTTTTTCCAGTGAAAAAATGGTTAAATGAAACGAAGCAAGAATCTTGGAACAAGAGGGGGAAAAAATTAGGCCTATTGGATTTTTTTTCTCATTTTTTTCTTTTAAAATTGTTTTATAATACAGTTTTTAAAATTATTTTTAAAACAAAATAAAATAAAAATCCGTTTGATTCTATCAATTAAAATATTTAAAAATTAAAAAATAAATTAATAATGATAGTTATAGGAAGTTAATGATAATAGTTAATAATAGAAATTGATCAAAGTAATTATAATTTTTAATAATTAAATGTAGTGTATTTAAAAATAAAAAATAAAATGACAACAACTTAAAGTTGTTTCTTTTTTTATTTTTAAAAATAAAAAATAAAAACAGTTTTAGAAATAACAACATAAAAATTATTTATCCAAGCAAATTTTTAAACTTTTTTTATTTTCAAAAATAAAAAATAATTTTTAAAAATAAAAAATAAGCGGTCCCTCAAATTGCAAGTTGGAATTTTTTTTATAGATATAAAAATGGGTAGCCTTGTGTCATAGTCCGTACTTTCTAACCCACAACATGAGTGCAGTGACCATTCCCTTTCTTGAGTTCCCACTATGCTGCTTTCCCCGTCTTTTATATAAAAATGGGGGTCGACGCCGTCCCAAGGCAGCCCATGGCTTAAACCTCAATGAATCTAAATACTGACTTCTCGGCGTACTTGAACCCCGTCGTCTTCCTCGACCAAACTATCTTCCTTTCTACTCCTCACTTCTATGCGTGCCTGAACCCCAGCGAACGTGAGCAAAGCCAGATTATAATCTCAGGGTAATTCTCTATTTTCTGATCAGAAAATTACTTTCTTACACGGCATATATTTTTTATCTGAATTTCACTTGTAAAATTATGTCCGCTTGAGTGCCACTTCATTGCTATTTAACATATTTTTTAACACTGTTAGCATTTATTTAACAGTTTTAAACATAAATTAGAGGAAACTATACATACCTAATTCAAAATTCAAAAAAACTATAAGGACCAGGGTATTAATTTTCTTTAAAACTTATTAATATATATTGTATTAGGTCAAAAAAAATATGTATTGTAAATGTAAAGATCATCACACCTTTTTAATTTCATGAATTAATTTTTCATTCTCTTTTATAAATATAGTTTACTTATACTTTTTAATCATCTTATTTTTACTTTTTCACTTTATTCCATTCCAATCAGTAGGACCTAAATTTTAGCTAATTCATTAACAAAAAGTAGTTAATTAATTATCTGTAATTAACGTGAAAGATATTTGTGTTATCTTTTTACAATTATCCTAATATTCAAATAAATGACTTAATCCCTCCCTTAAAAAAAATAAAGCATGCTTAGATAAGTAAGATGTTAAAAAAATATGAAAAATATAATTATTAATCCTTATAGTTTTATTAAATTTGCTTTTAGTTTATATAATTTTTTTTTTCAATGCTCTAAGCATTCCAAAGAGAGATTCAAAGCACTAAAAATATTGACACTATAAATACCTAAATAACAAATATTACCCAATATTATTAAAACTATAGAAGCTGAAAACATGTGCAAAAAAATATATTAACTAAAAGGGAAACAGATCAAATTATAAGGATCGATAACTATATTTTCTCTAGAAAATATAGAGTATTTTGAATTTTTTAAAGTACAATTAATTTTTTTAAAAAAATACTTTTAATTAGTAGATGTAACTATTAAGGTTTTCTGATTGACATACCTTATTAAAAAAAAAGTAAACATGAATAGATAGTGTAATTTTAAAAATAATTAACTAATTTATTAAAAATATAATTCACTCAAAATGCTTCATAATATTAAACGGATGGAATAACTAGTATCAGGTTTGAAAATATATATGTAAACATCTAAAAGTCTCCCCCAAGTCAGGCTGCAAAAACGATCAAGGAAAAAACAAATGCATCCTTCAATTTTCATCCAAACAGGTTCAATCCCTCCTGTGGTTTCATAGCTGATAGCCCCACCTGACCTGCGAGAAAAGAAAGGCTTTCGCCTACACATGAGAAATATTGAACTAATGGCTCTCATCATCTTTCATAAAACTTTCTGTGAGGAAGGTAATGAATCAGAGTGCAACCATGAAAAATATAAATGCAATAATTGGCAAGGTGAGTTACCCGCAGAAGAAAGAAAACGTCTTAGTGAGTGATGAAGAGCCAAAGATGATGAAGGACATAGTGATAAAGCACAACTGAAGAAAATATAATACACAATAATATGTGCCATCTATCTTCTCTTTGCTTGGATCCCATTCCTTCATAGCCTTTATCCATCTTCATGCTTTGAGAATTTGAGTTAATTTGATCTTTCTGGCATGTTATTTGATATTCCCATTCCATTGGATCCTGTTGATACTATAGGCAACATAAATTACGGCTAATAGTAAGAATCATACAGAATAATTTTTGAAGGACGCAACATGAAGATATGTACAACTAACCCCATGCCTCCCAAACGGGGTCTCTGGATATTTTTCTTCTGGAGAAATTTGAAATCCTTCCTCGGATTTCATATCTGTAGATCACAAAGAAGAGAGGACCAAGAAGGAATTGAAGATGAATTATTCTTACACTTTTCAATATGTCCATTCCATTTCTTATTTGAAAACCAATAGAATTTATAAGAAAATTGAAAAAAGAAATGGTGAAAGCATAAAGAAAGAGGAATGCTCAAGACCATTACCGTCTGCACTGATGCCATGCGAGTTCACCTCACAAGAAGAGTCCTCAGGTGCTTCCGTAGCCTGGAAGTCTTTGTAATACAATCTATCTGCGTGCCATAGTCAGAGAATGCAAGTCACGTAAGTAAGAAAGAATGCGGATGGGACATAATCAATTGATGAACTATAATCCTTTCGTCCCATCTTCGAAGAAACTCAGCCCATATATTTATTCATATCAATAAATTGGTTTAATAAATTTTGACACGTCAATATTTCAACTGAAGGTCACAGAGTTGTCTATTAACATTTACTAAATCCGATCAGTCAGAAAACAAAACCATTCAGAGTAATTTGTTTCTTGAACTTTTGCACTATTCTATCATCTCTGAATCTCATTTCCGTAATCCATTTCATGAATACCTCCTTTGGTTCATAAACCAATTTCTGAGAAGTTCCAACATCAATGTTTAATTTAGATTTCCCCCTTTTTTTCATTTAGAAGAAAAAAACTATATATATATAAATACAGATGGTGAACAAGAGAAAAGATCCGCAAAGGAAGTTACTAGCACGCAGAGACAGGAATAACAGGTCACTATTACCTTTTCTGCTGCTGTCACTATAAACTGAGAAATTGCAATCTTCATCACAAATCATATCCTCCAGTGTTCTCCTTGGATTTTCAAATAGGATATCATCCGCACAACTTTCATAATTGTAGATATAGACCCCAATGTACTTCACATAACTAAAGGCATCTGGTGACACATTTTTGGGGTGTGTACTGCATGATATCCGAACATGATTGAATTGCTTTTCTAGGAGTTCCCTTCTGACCTCAAACTCCTTATTTTGGTGCCTTAGATCATCAAACAGATATACATGACCAGTCTCTATTTCTAAATCATCAGTCTTCACAACAAAACTGTGAGTGCCACTGATAAGGACTTGGATTTGGAACTGAAAGTGGCTAAAGCCTCTTCCTTTTACATCAAAAACAACACAAACAGCAATTTCCGGAAATTTATTACGAACCAAAAGAGAAACTGAACTTCCACTGTTAGAGCTGTGGATCCATCCTGGGACCCGTTCTCCTGGCAGTATAAATTTTCTGTTCCCAGGAACCTGCAGGATCTGTGAATGAAGCACAGGCATCAGAAGCACAATATGACATATATATAAAATTGATAAGAGTCTGAAGTCGTAGCCAAAATTGAATTTGATATGTGATTGAGAGGTAAAAATTAAGAAACCTGACTAAGTAAACTGATAGAAGGCACGGAAGTCAATGATGTGCAGTTTATTGCTGACAATACTTTAATATTTTGGGGAATCCCTCTGATTTCCTGAAGCTGTTTGCATCCGTCCAGATAAAGTCGCTTCAAATAGTGACAATCTTCAATGCACACTGGAAGAACTTTGAAATCATTGTCGCGTAGCTCTAGAACTTGTAATCTGGGAAACCATCTGAGAATCAGATTAAGAAGTTGATCTGAGATATTGTTTTTGTTTAGGTGTAACCTAGTGATATTGCAGAATGCAAGATTCACTGTCCACTGTACATCTTGATCTGTGAACTGGTTGAACAGCCCACAAGATCCAGCTTCCAATCTCACAAGTTTATTCAATTTACGAATGCTATCCACCGGTAAATGACAAAGCCTTCTGCAGTTGTATAGGTATAAGCATTCAAGCCCAGTAAGTTTCTCAATAGACTGTGGTAGTGTTTCTATGGCAGTGCCACTCAATGCGAGCGTTTTAACATTTTCCATTTTTTCTAATATTTCTGGAAATTTTTGAAAATTTGAGCATCCTGTGAGATCTAGGGTTTCAAGCGACGTAAAGTTGATGCCATCTTCTAGAAAACTGATGAGTTTGGCGCATCCTCGAGCTCTCAGTGCCCTAAGATTAGCATGGTATCCAGCGGTACTATCAATTTTCATTAAATTCTTGCAATGTCCGACAGACAATACCTTCAAGTTTGATGCTCCGTACAAATCAGGTAATTCCGTTAACATGTTACAGTGCTCAAGATTCAAATAACACAAACTGGCCCACTGTAAGACCCAAAAAAAAGACGCATGGGTTAGACGAGAAAGTAGAAATATTCTCTAATGGTAAACTTTCTACAAATAAAGCCATGTCACATTATAATGTCTTAATGAAATAATGGATAAATTAATGGCGCAAGAGTTACTTGCATAAAGGTAAAAAATTAGGAAGGTTAATTGTGAAGATTTAAAAGTAAGGAAGATTATCTACACACAACCCAAACTTAGGGGGTTACTTATATGCATCTTTCCCTAACTAGTGAGATTTTATTAGAAGAATATATGCATCTTTCCCTAACTACTGTGATTTTATTAGAAGAATTTTATAGAAGGGAAGAGAGAGAGAGAGAGAGAGAGAGAGGTTTATATTTTAATCAACAGCTGATTTACATAACCACCAGAAATGCGCGTGCTCCCACGCACACAAAGGTAATTGATCAAAAGTAGTAAAAAGACGAAGCATACCTGGCGTCCCGGCTTTCCCAGTTTCAAGTAACTACGAGGCAGGTTGAGTATGACAAGATTGCTTGGATTAAAGTTTGAGGGTAATGTCCATGAGGGATAATCCATCCAATCCAGTACTCTTAAACTACTTGGCAGAGATTTAGGACCTCTAGAAAACTTTACACCGTAGATGAAGAGTACCCTCAGATTTTTCATCCTCTCAAAGGCTTCCCCGTTCCAATTCACCTTTTTAACGTCAGAACAACGCAGCAGAATTGTCTGAATTCTAGCAGTTCCCTTTGCAGCCAGAAGCAAAAGTGAAAAAAAGTGAATACACTATACCCTCCATCCAGTTACAGTAATTAATCATGTTGCAGTTTGGCAAGTTTATTCTTTCAGATATAATTACTCATAAAATTATATTCTGTTTTTTGTCAACTTGTCAAAATTTCTGTTTTGATATTAAGTCAAAAGTTAGCACAAAATAATGTACAGGAAAAAAATTATAGAGCATTACAAAATAACCAAAGAGAAAATAAGGGTGTTTTTTTTTTTCACCCGGGGGGGGGGGGGGGATCTTCCCGGACAACTTGGAAATGATGATGTTGAAACTAAAAACAGGGAATAGAAGAAAAAGTTGAAAGATATGTTTATCAATATCATACGTCTGCATTTTTGGCTAATAAGAATAATCACTATTTATAATATCTAACTGCGAAGGATAAGAAAAGAAAATAAAAAACAACACTACGAAACACTACATACCGTACATTCTTCTAATACATCATGAATGTCCTCAAACATCCATAATCTGCTGCGTTTACCAGGTTCGTGCGGTGATTGCTGCCTTACAATTTCCTGACCCATTTTTTGAATCAAATCATGCATTCGCACAATACCATAATCATCAATTGTAATAAGACATTTATTGATCAACACTCTAATGCAGATGCCTGCGTTAAAACTGAAGCTAGTCCGCAGTATATTTGAGGCGTGTTTCAACTCCCATCCATGGTAGAAACAGGCAATATCAAGAAAAATTTCCTTTTCTACTTCATCCAGAGCATCATAACTCAATTTGAGAATGTCAAGAACATGACTTCGACTTTGTTCACTTCGAATTTTAGCCAATGCAGATTCCCATTCACCAACAGTTCGACCAGACAAGAAAGAACCTAGCACTTTCAAAGCCAATGGAAGTCCACATGCATGAGTTAGCATGAGATTTATGACGTTTTCGTACAAAGGATCTGCTTCTTTGCTTCCAAAAACATTCGAAACCAGCAGTTCACGAGCTTCATCCTTGTTTAATCCCTGCACCTCATATTTTCTGTGAATTCCATGATGGTCCAACAAGTGCTTATCCCTTGTCGTTACAATGATTATACTGCCAGAACCAAACCAGTTAGGTTCACCTGCCAGAGCTTGTAACTGCTGATGCCTGTCTATATCATCCAGAATCAAAAGAACCTTCTTACTGCGGAGCCTATCTTTTATAATTGTTTTGTCATGTTCCAACCTAATATCCCACTCCCCAGTTGTTTCCAAGAGCAGTGCCTTTAGAAGATCGTGGATGGGTTTTTCTCTAACATCGCTTAGGAAGCATAAGTGTTCAAATTGACATGCAATTTCATTGTATACAGCTCGCACAAGTGTTGTTTTACCCACACCACCAATACCATAAATTCCTACCATGGTAGCTCCATCACTATGAGGCTGCTCGTTTAGAAGTGAGCAAACGTCTCTTACCCGAGACTCAATCCCAACTGGAAATGTAGCTACGTATAAAGGCTTAAAACTAACGGCTGTGGAAACCTGTTGAACGATTTCTTCCACGAACTCATGTTCATATGATTCCTTGCTGTTCAATTACAAAAACTTGGTCAAAATCAAATGGTAAATTTATTACTTCGATAGAATTCCCATTTAAACCACATATTTAAGTTGAGAAGAATCGTAAAGTTTTAAAAAGAAAAAAAAAATGACTTTGAACTTTATGGTTGAGCACCTGAGAAAGCAACGATATCGAAGACTATTTATTTATACTCCAATTTTCAAGTAACTAAGGGGCTTTTGCATAGCTCATTTTATAGAACCAAAGTTAACAAACAGTCTAACATTTATTATATCTAACATTTATTATATTTTATATTATGGTCATTTTAATATTTAGTTGAGTTTTATATAATAAAACTACCTTCTTTATAAATAATATGACATCCTTTTAAATACTTTTTTTTTTGGGCAAAAACCTCCTTTTAAATATTAGAAGACAGAAGAAAGATCATTTGTTCCTCTTAAAAAAAATGACGAGATTAAGCATCCTTATATCTTCAAAATTAAATAGTATTGATAAGTTTTTACTGATACGATTTATTAATGATATATAAACGTATATTACTGATATATTATTATAGATCAAAAACATAATCATTTGCTTGAAAAAGATCAAACACTATCCATATAAAATTCTGAACATCTTAATTTATCATAGAAAATCAAATATCTAAGCTAATAAATATCATTTTTCATCATATGAAATGACTAGATTAAACATTCTCATATTTATAAGATTAAATGATGTTGATAAATTTTCACTAATATGATTTACTAGTGATATACAATTGTATATCATTGATATACTATCGTAGATTAAAAGCACGAAAAAAGCATAATCATTTGTCAAAAATTAATCAAACACATTCAGTAAAAAATTGTAGATATTTTAGCTTATTATAAAGGATCAAACAGCCATTTGTAATGAAATTTTTAGTTTTACATTCATCTTTGTGCAAGAAAGCCTAACAATGAGACTCATTTCCAAAAGCACAAAATTAAACTACTCATGTTAGGACTTTTTTTGCAAAAGAGTGCACTTGTTACTGGAAAGTAATATATGAAAATTTTTTATATTTTTAAATATTCACCTTCTTAAAAAATATTTTATATTTTTCAATGAAAGGGATATAAAATTAAAAGACAAAAGTAAACTTACTTTATCAATTTGTCAGAAAATATATTATTAATTGCAACTTTTATATTTTTGAACACTATATTTTAGGAAAAAAATGTGCAATTAATATTATTAAGAGGAGGTACCAGGCAGCAAGTATCTTGCATATAATATATATAGAGATGTGAGTAGTCATAAAAAAGTCAACGTAGAAAAAAGAGAGTTAAGGCAGTGGGGGAAAAATGGAGTAGATAAATAAAAATATGAATGTTGTCCCCAAAAAAAAAAAGCATGAAAATAAAAAACTGAGGCAAGGTGGAGGTGGTACCATGGTTCCAAATACCAGCGAGGCAAATCAGCGGCATGAGACAAAGCCGATCTCCAGCTCTTGACGATCTCATCACGGAGGACTCCCGCACCATCATACCGATCAAAGGCAGCCTTATAGGGCCCCGTTTGATGCTTCACGTGAGATGGATCGACTCGGTAAAACACGGGCCAAATGAATCGACCATCTCCCTTGACGCAGTCAAAGATCTGAACCAGACGCTGCAGACAAACTAGGGAGAAGGCATAGTTCTTAGAGAAAATAACAATAGCATTCCTAGACTGACGGATTGCTCGGGAAGCATATGGTAAAATCGGCTCATCGCTAATGAATGTCACGATTCCCCTTCTACGGAGGGCATGATTAAGATCTGTGGCCAAGTTGCGGCAGTCATCTTCACCATCGAAACTCAGAAAGACATCGTAAGCGAAAGAGGAGGACGCTGAACCTTCATCCATGGTTGCTTCTGGTGTGGGCAGTGGGCACTCCGCTCTCTGCCTGCTAGACGCTGGGCTGCACTTTGGTATCACGTTTTACGCGTTATCTTACCTTTTATAAATTGCATTTTTTTTCGCCGTTCATAATTTATATATGGTGTGTTGAAATTTAATTGGTTGTTTGTTGTTGTGGGGTTTGTAATTTTGTTTTTTTTTTTTTTGATGGGTTGCGATTTTCGAAAATCATCAAGTCACTATTTAATATTAAATTTTTTTTACTGTTATTTATACAGTACAATTTCTTTAATACGCTTGTGCAATGTTTGAGTCCTATTGCTTGCGTCAATTTTTCTCCAATCTTTTATACCGTAAAGTTGGTCCAGAAACCAAACTCTTCAATTTTTTAAATCTAACATTAATAAATTAGTTGTTTTAAAAATTAAAATTGCAAGTACCATTACATTTAAAAAAAATTTAAACAGTAAAAGAGCAAATTAATCCTAAAATTATATATTTAAATATATATGGACCTTAAATTTATTTTTTTATAATGTTTCCTTTTAACTTTAAAAAATGATGTAATTTAACTTTTTTTATTAACAAAAGTTAGCTTTAATAATTAACTGACTAAAAAATGATAAGAAAAAAATCTAAAAATTTTTGGAAAAGGACAAAATGTAGAGTTAAAGACCCACAATTACATACAAGAATAAAAAATATTACAGAAAATGATTAATAAAATTTTATTAGTTATTTTATAATTTTTGAGGTTCTTTTTTTTTATTTTTTGATTAACTATCTATTAAAGTTAATTTTTGTTAGTAATAAGAGTTAGATTACACCGCTATTAAAAATAAAAATATTGCATAAAAAAAGAGTTTAGAGTTTCAGATATGCCGGACTTATAGTATAAGAGCTAATATGTTCTTTTATCCTTTGTTAAAATATAATTAAGGTAATAAATTTTGAAATAAAATAAGCTCAGGTAATAAATTTTGGAGTTATTTATAGTTTTCAATTTTTAATATGTACATATATGATGAAATTTAGAATTTAGAGTAACATATACTATCAAGTTTTTAAAATGCAAATATTTTGCACAGTGTAGATACTATTACTATTGTTTGTTTTTAAAATTATCATTAATGTTTACTAAATATTTTACTTTTATTAGTTTTGACAATCTATTTAATTTAAGGGAAATGAAGGGGAGGTGAAAAATTTTAATGACTTTAATTTTAATATATATATATATATATATATATAAAGTGAGGTTAAAAGTTTGTAATTGAATTTTTTTTTTCATTCTGCATTCCTATCTATTAAAAGTTTATAAATCTAATGGTCTATTTTTATAAAATTTAACTAATTAGAATCATATTCTTTTCCATTCCTCTCAAATTAAATAGAGGATTAAAAATTTAAAATAAGAAATAAATAATTTTTATGAGTATTAAATTTAAAAAATGAATAAAGAATTAAAAGAATATATCATTTAATGTGTTGGAGGTAACATGAATAATTTTTAGATAATATTTATATTTAAAGAAAGTTATTTTGATTCAGCATAACTGATTTAACTATTGACTAATAATTGGATGAATGAAAATAAAAACTTAAAAGTAGAACGAATGTTTGTATTTGTCTTTATTAATTTTAAGAGTGGTTTGTATATATTTTTAAAATAAAAAAGAAATATCTACAATTAGGATAAAATAGAAAAAGCACAATGCATTTTATTTTAAATTGTAACCACTATAAAATCATTTTAAATTTTTTATAATTATTTTTATTTTTATCTTTTATATACTAAAACATTCCTGTTTATCAGATAAATCAAGTCTAGGTATAAATATTGCTCAGTTTAAATCTTGGGAAAATTGGTCAAAAAGAACCAAATAACAAAAATATGCACGGGGAAGTATCAAAAGTTTGAAAAGGCACAAGGAATTTCAAATAAAATTGAGTTTGGATGAGAAATTACCTAAAATAAAAAGGGAGGAGAAAAAATTACACTCAAAACCCAATACATTCTGAAATTATTCTACAGAACTAAGGGCCCTTTTTGCAAATATATTTTAGGGAGAAAATACACAATTGTCCTTAATGAAAAAAGATAACAAATAAAGTTTAGATTTTTACAATTATATATTTACAAATTCATAACTTTAAGTTCACATATTAATAAATAATGTCCATTAAAAGTAAAATTCTTGTTTAGAGTTGATATATTCATCTTGACTAATTTAATATATTTACAACTTAAAGTTTGAATATTTATAATATATTTCATAAGTCAAGGTTGAGAATTTATGACTTCATATATTCAAAACTAAAATTTATGTCAGCAAGTTCAGATTTTCACAATTACATGTTCACTAATTCACAACTTTAAATTCACATATTAATAAATAATTATCCATTGGTAATGAAATTCTTATTTAAGATTAACAAATTCTTGAAAATACATTAAAATTTTTTGAAGATTAATGAAGATTCTACCCATCATCTTATATCCTAATGACATGTAAATTTTATTGTAAGTGAAAGGTCATGGTATGGTTTTGATATTTTTTTTCAATGTCTGATCCTCTAATTCTAAATTAAGGCTCTTGATAAAAATAGAACGTTTTTTTTTTTTCATAAGAAGAGCCTCCAACTATAGGCCATGAGTACAGCGATGGGTATCCTTATTTAAAACATGCAAAAAGCTAATAGGAGGAGAACTAATAGTTGCATAACCAGGTTCCATGTCTAGTGCTTGATGAGCCAAGCGATTAGCTGCTGCATTCGCAATACGTGGCAGATACGTGAACTTGAGCTCCCAGCTTCGTTTCCCAAGCTCATTTATATCTCGTAGAATATTAGCATCAGGATGAGCAGTGTTATCCTCCCTATAAATCAGTCGAACAGCCTCAGAGGAATTTGATTCAATGAACACTTTACGGTAGCTAGCATCCCACGTTAGACGAGTACCAAGGAGTATACCCCAAAGTTTAGCAGTGAGACTATCCCCCTGGGCCAAGCGATGCACGAAACCTACAACGAATTGCCCAGAGCTGTCTCTTATCAGACCTCCACAACCTGCGCTTTCTGTGATATGGGAAAAAGCAACATCAACACTAACTGACGCCCAGCCATGAGCAGGAGGTGACCACCGTTGTTCGAACTCACGTAATACCACACCGTTCCAGTTAGCACCCATGATCTTTTTCCTGGCAGAGATAATGGAGCCATAAATGGCATTTGCTTCAGTTAATAAGCTCTCATTAAACTGACTCTTGTGTTCAAAGATTCGTTCATTACGTCTCTTCCATATCAACCAGCATAAAATAGTGAATATAACAGCCCAATCATTAATGTTTGAACTTCCACTCCATTTGAGGTTTCGTTCAAACCACTGTGTTTTGTCAAGGGGGAAGAATTCATGAAGCTTACTATTATAAACAATAGAGGATCACAGCTCAGTCGTGATTGGGCAATCCCGTAAAGCGTGTAAAATCCCTTTGCGATCCAAGTTGCACCACGAGCACCTATCATCCATACCATACCTCGCCTAGTTTTGACTTCATTTGTCAAGAGACGATCTCGGATTACCAACCAGACAAGGGACTTGCACCTTTGAAGGACGTGCAGCTTCCAAAGTTGTTCCCAGATACAATTGGGGTTGGAATCAAGCTTTTAGGAGGGAGTCATAAGCCGACTTCACGCTAAACATTTCGTGTCTAACATGGATCTTATAATATATTAAAAATAGAACGTTCTAAAGGGTTGTGATTGACATGGATCTTATAATATATTAAAAAAGTAAGGATGCCATTACAATGTTATTGAAGGAGAATGACAATAAAGTTTTAAAATAATAAATTAATAATAATTAAGTCCTGATAAAATTTTTATAAAATAAATTATAAATATCAATTTAAATAATTATAAATAAAAATTTAAATTATAAATTAATTATTATATTTAGAATATAAGTATTATATTTATAATTAAAAATTTTAAATTCATAATCGCCTGAATCGATATTTATAATAGACTTTTTTGAAAAAATTTATTGAGAATCTAAATATTACTTAATTTTTTTGAAATTTAATTGCCATTTCCCCTGTCATTGATTCATTAGTGTGGGACCCAGTGTACCTTTTGATTGTCAAATTAATGTAAAATCAAAAAGGCATTTTAGCATTTGTAATTTCTCGTCCAAACTTAATTTTGTTGAAGGGCCTCTTACTTCCCCACCCAAATGCTTATGGCTTCATGCTACTTGGTCGTCTTGACCAAATCTACCATCTACTGTATTTATTCACCGTCGGCCACCTGACCTTTTCTTTTCTTTTTTTTTTAATAGTAATTTTTTTAATATTTTTCAGTAAATGAAAATAAAATATCACAGGGCATCAAAACAAAAAAAGATAGATATGGGATCTACAATGAAAAATAAATGGTGAATATGAACCAATTCTAAAAAAATATTCCTTCCATCCTTATAATATTTTTTTTATAAAATTACGCATACTACTTAATAAATTTTGAAAAATACACTTCATTTAATATAATTTTATTTATAAAAAATTAAATAAAGAAATAAAATATAATAAAGTGAAAATAGTGACATTAAAAAAATATAATTAATGAAACCTTATTTTGTCAAAATATTTTATATTTTAGAATATCAAATCACCTCTAAAATGTCTCAATAGTTATGATAAAAAGAGTATATATTATAGCTGACTTTTTCTTTTTTATTTTTATAGAAAAGAGAAAAAACTTTATAAAAATTAATGGATCTCAATTTCAGGATTTTTTCCCCAAAAAATGAATGGTGGATATGAAACCTATAGTAGAAAAATTTGTGTGAAAAGCGGAACAAAATTCAAATAAAAATTACACAAATTGTAAAATGATAGTCATACAATGCAATGAAAATTTTTTATTTCTAGAATTTTAATTCATACATAATACTAAATTAGAAAAAATAATTTGAAATTCGATGCTTATATTTTCAACATGTAAAAAGTATTAAACTGTACATTAAAATAAACCGTTTGTTCTTTTAATATGTAAAAGAGAAATATATCATAAAAAAATATTTCTAATTAACATTACTTCTAATATATAGAGTTGAAAAATGAGTGGACCTAATCTTATGCATTTGGCTCCTAAAACCTTTTACCTTTAAAATTAACTATTTCTTAAAACTTGTTTTTATTAATTGGGCTTAGGGTCGAGCTTGAAAATCTATTTTTAATTTTTTAATCATTTAAATTTTTAAAAATTAAGTTTGACATTGTAATATTATTTATTCATTATCTAAAATACAAGTTATAATGTTCTAAAATAAAAAAAATAAAGAAATATAAATTATCATTTTAAAGTGCAAACACATATTCTAATGTCACCCTAGCGGCCTAGCCCCTTTTTAGGGCTTAAATGGATTAGATTTAAAAGCCTTTCATACAAAAATTTCTCATTTTTTAAAATATGAGCACATAAAAAAAGCAAAAACAGCTGGTCTTTGATTCATATTTTCAACTCTACTTGTGCGCATGAACCATGAGATTATAAATTTTAGAATAGCATACTGTTCGGATTGAATTACTGGCAGAATGAAATATCTATCGAGGCCTAATTCAGGTTTGATAGAAATATAGGCCCAATAGCTAGTCAGCCTCTCAGGAATTAAGTAGAACGTCGTGTCTTAGAGGCTCGACAACCTGGTCCCTCCCACTTTCCCTACTCTTTGCATAAAGCGGAGCACTTGCTCCCTCCACTCTCCCATGATGAGGTGTAACATCCCCAATGTTTTATATCTTGGCCTAAGTATTAAGTAAGGGTTTAAATGGCCTTCTTCTGGTGAAATCAGGGTGTTTTGGCAAGAATAGATGTCGTTAACACTTTGATTGTTAAGAACGCAATTAATTGATTAGATAAGGGTTATCCCTCTTATTTCCAGTGGTTATAGGACAAATTTTGGTGGAAAGTAGAGCCTCTGCCCATATCCGTTGTAAATATGGAAAAATAAGTTGCTTCATACTGTAGAATGTTATTACAGTAACTTTTCAGCTTTTATGGAAGAGATTAAACAATTTATTTTATACGTTAAACTATTAAAAACCTTTGATTCTTCATTGATATTTAAAATATTTTAATTCTAAATTATAATTAAATCAATATATTCGTACCAAAGTTCTATCCTCCTAGTTACACTGGATACTTTAGACTTTAGAGTGCCACTCCCTATAGATATCATTGGTATATTAAATATTGAGACTAAAAATGATTTCGAATTATATATTGATTGATTGTCCAGACATGGGACTATATTGAGATTTGTAATTGTATGGTCCTTCACAACAATACAAATATATTGGGTTTTAAAAGTGGTGTGACCTACTTATACCACTTTGACACGTAACAATTAATCTAGTATTGTTTGTGCTATCAATGCTCAGAGATTTATTAACTGAAATAGAATAATAATATTTCAAGCAATATTATTATTTTCCATCTCCCCGGTTGATGCAGCAGCTCCATAGAGAGCTTTAATTTGCTCAACATCATCGTAACTGCCTAAGAATATTGGAGATCGATCATGTACTTTCCTTGGAACCAAGTCAAGTGCCTGCATTTTTAATTCCATCGTCACACATTGTGTTATTTCAAATTATAATAATATGCATGCACATAAAATACACAAGTTTCTTGTTATAGGATTTCTTTTCCCCCTTGTCAAAGAATAGTCTATGAACTTGAGAAAACTAATGATATATAGAACAAAACGAGGAAATGTCATATACCCTTTGTTTTCCCGTAAAAGCTTGACCTCCTGCTTGCTCCATCAAGTATGACATTGGAAACACTTCATACAGAATCCTATTAATCACAAAACAGTATTCATAAGCACTTAGATATTCATTAGACGCAGCCACTAACCACTGACAGAAAACAATGCACTCTGTTAATTAAGCTGTTCATTCTCCTTCAGAGATCATGAAAACCAACAAGCCTTATCCTATTAAATGTAGTTGGCTGTATGGATAGCATGACGTTATTATACTCTATCAACAATCAAGCCTTTAGACATAATGTTAGCCAAAAAGTTTCATTTAACAACTTCCTTAAGTACTCTCTTTCATTTTCTTCTGTTGATAAAGTACAATGGTATCATGAAATCTACATGCATAACACTTAAGGGATAAAGTTTGTTACTGTTATTGTATTGAATAATAATTACAGAAACATGACAGACATTATCTAGAGATGATAGATGGATTTTCCGTCCTTGTAACCAAACAGAAGATGAAAAAAAGAGTCACAAGCTACACTCAAAATGGAAACAGTATCATTATCATACCTGAGCTTTCCACTTGAGCTTTTCTTATCAGCAGGGTACATGAAGATACCACCATAAAGCAATGTCCGGTGGATATCAGCAACCATGCTGCATGGCTTATCTCTGTTAGCGTCAATGAAGTAATTTTGAAGAAAGACAAGAAATTGAATCATGTTGAGGAGTCCAAATACCTTCCAATGTACCTAAGAGACTTTGATGGTGAACCATCTTGAGGATACTTGCAGCTTTCTACATATCTGTAAGGGCCAGGATGTCACAACAGACTCACATATATCCTTCAAAGCGTTCATTCACACCCCAATTGATTTGAACCAAGGATGTAATCTTGAAGCATGAGCTTGGTCTTTTTGGTAATTTTTACTAGAGTGGATTGAGGTATTGGAAATCTTTTCGCATAAAATATAGACCTAGTGTCAAGAAGGTAATAAGTTTCATTGACAACTTTGAAATACAGGTTTTAACACCTCAAAAGAGGTGGAAGGAATCTTGATGGGAACCCAACAAAAAAGGGGAAAACCTCTTCCAAAAGTCAGGCATTGAAAGTAAGAAAATCAACTTACTTAACCGCTTAAGGATCATATAAAGTAGCTTATATCACTCAATGTGGGATCAGGTAAGGCATGCTACATAGATCTCCATGAATTGGTTTCTATTTGAGAGCCAAAGTCCTAAAGACTCTACTCCGCGATATCTTACTCAAATTTCTTGCTAGCTAGAACCCTCCCTTAAGTTGCAATTTTCTGAGCCACCAACCATGACCTCTCATACTGATTGATGGTCATCCCAGCAGGACGAGAAATCTGTCCTCAAAAATTAGATATTGAAGTATTCCCCAAGTTCTATTTATGGGGTAGAGAAAAAGTATTTGTTTTGATCCTAATTATAAGATACCTCAATGATTCTTCTATCTATCTTTACCCCTTTTCCCCTATTAAATATTGGGATGGTATTAAATATTAGAATATTTTATTTTTAAAATATGTATAGTTAATAGGAGTAAAGTTAGAAATTTCATTGAATTTTTAGACAGATTTAATAAGATTTAAAGTTTTTCTTAACTTCGGTAAAAATGCTAAGAGTGATTGGTAACTAGAAATGGAGTAGAAGATTTGATCTACTTAAAGTAACCCATAAAACAGTTCATACATACTATTTAGTGTGATACTAGACAATCTTAACTACCTTGATTTTCATCAACTATGTAATTAATGAGAAAATCCTCAAAACTTACTTGGCAGTTGGTTCATCCCAGTTTTTGGCATTTCCTTCATTCACAGAGTAAAACTTTCCTTTCTTTGGTACCTGTATAGAACATGTAGTTTAGCATACTGTTTCACACTTGACTTGTGTGACTATTAACTTGAGATACCATTTTGTCATCCAAATACCTTGATGTCCGGATGTGTCAATATAAATTCCCCAAGACAAGGATCAAGTGTGAAGCCATTCACACCATTTCCTGTGCTGAGCACAAACTGCAATTCCAAAACTTATCGAATCAACATTTCGTATTCATCAGAAGAAAACTGAGATTTCAATGGAACAAAGAAAAATAGCCCTCATTAAGAAAATGGATGTCTGTTTTACCGTACAAGAGCTTCCATACATGCAGTAGCCAGCTGCCAACATGCTGGTACCAGATTGCAAAATATCATCAATAGTTGGATTATTTTGGTCCTTCACCAGGTAAATGCCAAAGATCTAAATGCAACAAGAGGAGCATTATTTATCACTATTATTTCTGTCACGATAGCTTTCCAAGTCAATCATTTATTTTTGGGATGACAAATTCATACGTACAGTTCCTATGGAAACACCACAGTCAATGTTTGAAGATCCATCCAAAGGGTCAAATACAACAATGTATCTGTCAAAATCAAGAGGTTCTTTCACATAGATATCATGGAATTGTTCAATGGATATGTTTCCAAAGTGTTTGAGCTTACTTTCCACGTTGCGATGGCTCCACGAATATAGGATCCTCATTCTCTTCAGAAAGTAGAATGCACTGACAAGAGATGAGGCAGCAAATTACATTTCAATTTATTATATCCAATACAAATGCTAGAATATAATATATGTACTATATTTAATACTTTTTCAACGTACTGGTGCTTCCTGCAAACAAAGGTATATTGTATATTGTGTGCGCTCAATACTCACTAACACTTCAAATCACATCTAACCACTTTATATTATGAATATATATAAGCCATGAATAATTTGACTTATCCTTAATTTCTCGCGTAATGTACGGAGAAATGTGTCAAGTTGAGCGAGAGAAAAGAACAAAGAAGAATAGAGCATAATTGAGAAGAGAGAAATGTTGGATGTTATTAGAGACTTACAGTACGTCCACTGCTAATTAATGCCTTGACAAACACTTCATTTGAAAGAACATCCAACTTCTTCTGATCTTCACCCTGGAAATGGCTTTCCAGATTAAAATAAAATATATGAAAGAGATGACAAAGAGTTCATAGAAGCATCATAAGGAATTCTCAGAATCAGAAAACAGAGAACTTACTTGAACATTGATCTCCCCTGCAAGTCCAAGCAATTTTGCCAGCCCTGCCTGTTAATGGAAGTGTTTTTCAGTCAAGTGTTCAATTGTTTTATACCTTTTCCAATTTTTGACCCTTCAGTAACTCAAATAACTTTATTACTGACATGATCTCTTTTTTAGCACACTATCTAAATTAAAATTTAATTATTTATTATTCCATTGGCATTCATTCTATATGAGTACTTGGACAAAGAAAACCTAAATAAGTTAATTTAAAGATTAAATTGATGAGAAGCAATAATGGAGGTTACTAAATCCCGAGAGCAAGCACTTGCATACAATAATTTAAAAATATGGCGGAGAAAATTCTTCTAATGTTATATCTTTAGCAATAATATGATATCTAATACCACCAATTAATTTATATTTAAGCATCATTAAATTTACATTGGGTAACTCTTGATGAGAAAATCTTAGATGGACTGGTGCATCATGTTATCCATGTCTATTCAATAAAATTACATCAACTCAAGATGACATTGTTTTAATTTCTTGTATTTTCTCTTTATACTATTATTAATATCAAAATTAATTTATATTTAATATCATTTGAATATCATATTTTTAAGATGGGCTATGAATGATATGCTAAGTCCTTCCAACTTTGATTATGATTTTTTCATCCATTACATTACCCTTATTTAAAAAGTATTGAATCTCTTTCAGGTCTAATGCCTCAAATCCCTGCCCATTACGGATTGGTTCGGTTAAAAGTTTTTGAAGGGAGGGGGAGAAGAGTTGCTTCCATTCACTTGTTTGGTTCATATTTAAAAAAGGAAGTAAAAGGGAGCCCCTTGTTTAATTAAAAAATTGAAGGGGAGGGAATGAAAGCAACTCACCTCACCTCCCCTCCCCTCCAATTTGGGGATTTTTGAAGGGAGAAAGGAGAGAGAAAACTATAATTAAATTAGTTATTTATTATTTTAAAAATTTTAAACCATGCTTGATATTAAAAAATTGTGCATTATATTTCCCCCTCTCTCTTATAATTAAATAAATTTTATCGCTTCATAAAAATTAATATATAATTTTTATTGTCTAAAATTTTAACATTTTTTTCATTAGATACATGAATAAAATATAATATTAATGTATTTATTCTTTAAAAAATATTATTAATATAAGCTTATATCCTTAAAACAATAAAGTTACTAAAATATAATAAAACTATTTTTAATAATAAATTAAAGCAAAAAAATTAAAATCAACTTCAAATTGATAAGAATAAAATTGTAAACATATTATTGGTTTCCTCCTTTCCCTTCCTAATTCAAACAAAGGTACATTAAAATCTCCCTCCCTCCACCTCCCCTCCTCTTCATACTCCCCTCCTCTCCCCTCCTCTTTTTCATTAAAATCTCTCCCCTCCTCTCCAGTTTTTTCTCCTTTGAACCTAGCACAAATCTAATTATCAAATTAAAAACATTATACATACACACACACACACATATATATATATATATATATCTATATAAAGCATGTCCTACCACCAAAATAATCTCCAACGTTGAAGTCTTCATACTAATAAATAAAATTCATAAAAATAAATAAATAAAATTTTACATTTCATTTTTCACAATGAATAAGTTTTTTATTTCAAAAAATACTAAACAAAATCAAAGCCTTTTTTTCGGACCAAAGAAAAAACGATTTTTTTTTTTTTTGCCAATGGAAAAATACGAATTCTTTTTCTTCGACTGAAAAAAATGGAATCCACTCCCTGGGCCTCTCTTGGAAACTGGCAAATTGCTTCTAGCTCCATCCTCTTACTTGATTTTCTTCCTTTTGTGTGTGTGTGTGTACGTGCTATATAAAATGTCCGAATTATTCTCCAAATATGAAGTAGGAGGAAGAGAAGGAGGAGAAGAATAAGAAGAGAACCTTACTAACAGAAGAGCAGACAAATTTGCAGCCAAGGACGATGTGATTGAGTAGGATGGTGAAATCGCCTCGCGATTCCTTGTGCTTCGATTGTTCGTTCAGAACGAACCGAGTGATCGTCATCAAATCAGTCCTCTGAGCATCCGCCGCGTGATCCATTTCTCTCTCTCTTTCTTCGTCCCTTCCCTCACTTCTCAAATCCTTCAAATTCGCAACTCTTCTTCTTCTTGTTCTTCTTCGCCAAAATAGGGTTGTTCTATAGAATCAGAGAAAAAAGAGCCTGAGAAAATGGCAAGCGATTGGAGGACTTATACTGAGGCTTATTCCGAAATCGCAGGATTATAAAGCGGAGGTGACGCACGCATATGATGATTCTGACTCTGATCGGTGTGTGTGGAAGAAGTTAGGGAACAAGAGAATAAAGAAAAGAGATGGAAGTCTTGCTGGAATCTCCCAATTATATGCTGGTTTTGCGGAGTCAATGAATCAATCTTGATCTTCAAGACAAACATGTATGCGTGTATATTTCTCGAGTCATGCTGATGTGGAACCCAAATCTTCTTAAATAGTTGACTTCCATGAAATAGAATACAGGGAAATCTCATCTCTGCACATCTAAATTCTACATTTGAGTTCATTTCTGTGTCCTTATTGTCTCTCTGTTTCAATCTCCAGTCACTTTAGAGGGGAAAATTTCTCCAGTGATTAAAAACGAGCAAATTAGACCCATAATGAAGGGGTGGGAATGATACTAAAATCTCAACAAAAACAAAAAAAGGTTAATGATATATAACGTCTAAGGGTTGTTTGGGTAAATAACATCCCACAATTGAGAAATACCTTCTAGCCTTTCAAATGTGGAAAATTGTTTAAGAATTTTTTAATTGGGCAAAATGATTTTTTAGAATGTGGATTTATAGAACCACTAAAATGGATTAGCCAACATGACGTCCAAGAGCTCTTCAGATATATTAGAAAGCACATTCTCAACCTTCATACTTCTCCACCATTCATCATTTTGACACTTGTTCCCTCATCACATTGTTCCTCGTTCAATTTTTTCATATCTAAACACATGTTCTAATTAAAAAAAATAGTCAAACAAAACAAACACAACAAATATTAAAAAAATGTAATACATAATTAAATTCTTTTTAAAAATATTTTATGATAAGAATTAAATTTCCTTCATAAAAATGTTTTATAAAAATATTAGGGATGCAAAATATGATTATGACTTTATGTATTTTGAGAATGAAAATATGATTAACCTTCATAATAATCATGCCGACCATACATCTCCATTATCAATTTTAATCATAGTTTCAAGTGTGACTCCTAATAGAGATGTACAAAGTTTGTAATTCAATTAGAGATAAGACTATACATTATAGATCGAATAATTAGTCAAATAAACTTTTAGTAAATTGACTTTTGTTTAATGGAAAATCAACCATGCACTAAGTTTTCAATAAATTTTTAAAAATTTTGAATTATAACTATCAATTCAAAATCATAAATTAATAATTATATGTTATAATCATAATTCTTAAATTTGGGAAAATGTATTACTCTCTCCATTAAAAAATGTAAAGCATTTTTAACCGAATCTCATCCCTCAATAAAGTGATTATTTACTTTCAAACTAACCCTATTTTTTATCTTTATCCCTATTAAATACCCTATAATAAATATAAAATCACTATCAGTAGGGGCACTTTTGAAAAAAAGATAATGATTACACCACGAAAGACTAAAAATGCCTTATATTCTTAAACATCCAACTCCTAAAAAAATGTCTTACATTTTTTAATAAAGAGAGTATTTAATTCTTATAGTTTCATCGAATTTACAACTCAATCATTATACTTTATTAACTCATCACAACTTAGGTCTCGTTTAGTTACTAAAAAGAAATAAGGTGGATTTAAAAAATAAAAATAAAAATGAGATGATCAAAGGAGATAGTGAATCACATTCATAAGGGAGAAAGATAATTTAGTTTATAAAATTAAAAATAATGATTCATGAGATTTTTGAAGGGTGTAATAATTTTTATATTTGTAGTACATATTGATAAGTTTTATCATACTTATTATAAATAAAAAAGATGATTTAGTTCATTTTTATATTATTTTTTTTAATTCATTTTATTTTATTCTTTTTTGGTAATTAAACGGGACCTTAATTCTTATATTTTTCTCACATATCTCTATCCATCCTTGTTTTCAGAAAATAACTAAGTCTCTTATAACTCATCCTACAGGACACTATTAACAATTAACACTGTTAAAGTTGGTAAAAAAAAGGCTGTAAAAAATTACTTAGTTGGCATCTAGATAAATGCCACATCAGATAAAATAAAGTGAGACTAATCTGTGAGAGTGATTTTTTTTTTTAAAAAAAAAAGATACATAAAACCAGCTGCAACAAAAATAAATTATTAAACTATAAACTTTAGGGTATATCACTTTTGATTTTTGAAAAGTACTTTCCCACTTTTAAGATGCAAAATATTATTTGAAAAAAAAATAAGAAAATGAAAGTACATTCTAAAAGTATTTTGAGGATGTTATTGAGACAATGAAGCTTTTGAAAAGTCAATTTAAAAAAATGAGATATTATTTGACCGTACTATTTTAAGTTTAATATATTATTTTTTTATTTAAAAATAGTATTAATTCATTAAAAATATAATCATCACTTAAATAATAATAATAATAATTAAAAATTAATTTTTAAACATTATAGATTGAATAATTAATCATGTTACTTTTTAGCATTAATATATATTCAACTAAATATATAATATTTGTTCTAATTTATCAAATTTTATATTTTATACTTTTATCATTTAATATAACAAATTTTATATTATTTAACATTTTTATTAACCAACAAAAGTTTATTCAATTGATTAAAATTTTTTTGAATAAAAAAAATTTATGATATATATCTTTTGAATCATATGAATTTTCAATATTAACGTATATTAAATTATTTATTATATAATTTTTTTATATATCAAAATTTATATTTTTTATTTTTATTATTTAATATTTCAAATTTTATGTTATTTAAAATTTTTATCATATTTTTAAAACATTTCAAAATATATTACATTGTATAATAAAAATTATAAATTATTATAGATCAATGTTCTTTTTAATAATTATACATTCAAAAATATATTTTACTATCATAATTGAAAAAAATTTTAATTTATTAAACTTACTTTTAAAAAATTATATTTAAATACAAAATTTGTCATAATAGCTAATTTTTTCTAAACTAATTTTTATTAAATAATTTTTTGACAAGCTAGCTTTTGAATACAGAAAACCAATGCGCACGAAGAAGAAAACGAGGGCAAAGGCAAGAAGGCGATTTGAGAAAGCAAGATAGATGATGGACCTACTATTGGAGTATTTATAAATATTTATAGATTTACATTAATTAATAAGTCTAAATAGATTGATCTTTATGATATTGTGTGAACTATGATAGATAGACCATACAAATGAAGTCAATGGATAGAGACTCAACCTACAACCTTATAACCTTCAGTTATTTCTTATCTCCTAACAGACTGAGTTAAGAATAATATGAGATAATTAATTAATTAATTTATGAAAGCGGTTATTGAATTGATCCATATAAATCGATCAGTCAATAACCAAAACATGATATACATTTTTTATTATCTCCATTATCTATATACTCTCTATAAACTACAGTAGGTTGTATATCTATTTAAACTTGAGGTAATTGAAAAGTTACAATCAAATATTAATTCTTTCAATATACACATTACTTTGTTCAATCTTATTAGATTTATATGAGTTGAGATATTAAAATTAACACCCACTTCTCTTTGGTAACATAACATTTGATATTTAGAAAGTTATTTTTTTACTTTCAAGAAATCCTGTTACTTGGATACGATTCTTTGCTCATAAGGACCATGAGGATTGGAAGTAGATTTTAGCCAGGGATATGCTTGGAGCTTTTGAGATGTAATTTTATTTCGACCGAACGGTGGAGATCTGTTTGAGACCTGTCATTGGTAAGCATTTCTCAAGACATAGCTTTTTGTACGATAATCTAGAGTATAAATAGTGTGTTCTACTTCAGTCTTTTGTATTGCCGGTTTATTTACATGAAATCAACATATAAGAAACTAACATGGTAACGGTGCAAGAATATACATTAACTTTTTTATATTCTTTTCTTTTTGCTTTTTCGTTTATTTTTTATTAATTTCTTAATTTTACATTATACCCTCGTTAGTCTATCACAGTTTCACTTTCACAGTTTTCACATTCAATCCTCCACAGCAAACAATGTAGGCTCATTTTTCAAATATCGTGTAACATAAAAATACATGTCTAATTATTATTAAAAAGAGCAAGTATAAAATAAATAATCAAGCTTAATCAAAGTTGTTATTAAAATAAATAAATAAACTTAGCCAAGTTGAGGGTTACATAGACCAAACTAACCAAGATTGAAGGAAAGAAAGACTGCAATGTTGAAGGACAAGGGGAAAAAATTTCACTGCAAACTCAGAGTCCATTTAAAGCATACAACAAATATAAACAGAACTGACTCAAAAATCCCAGCCTGGGAGAGGAAAAAAGAATCATAGAACCTCTCATTCTCCTAACTCAAGGCATCTAAATTTATAGCCAAAGCATGAAAGAACAAAATAAACCAAACAGAACCTACCAAGCCTGCCAATTCATAACCTAGACCAGCTTCGTTTTTTCTTGGCCAAAAAACTAGACCAGCTTTTAAGGACCTAATGAAAAAAACATATAAATTACAAGCCAAAGCATTCATTCCACTAGAAATGTCCCTTCTTCTAAAATCCGAAGATACAGGAACTCAACTATACTTGATTGGCAATGACACAAGACTGGATGGATGCATGAAGAACTTCAATTTACCCACTACCTATGTTTGACTGTGAACCAGCTTAGAAGCACTTACGGTGGACAATTGCAGGACCAGATTCATCGTATTCACCCTTGGAAATCCACATCTGGATAGGAGGAAAAGGACAATGAATCAACAATATAACAATCATAAATCTATCTGTCCTACTAATTGGATCAACTATACGGAAAACCCAAGAATGCGGATGAAGAAATGTGAAGTTGCAAACCTGCTGGAAGGTGCTTAGTGACGCCAAAATAGACCCACCAATCCAGACACTGTACTTTCTCTCAGGAGGTGCAACCACCTTGACCTTCATGCTACTTGGAGCAAGGGCAGTAATTTCCTTGCTCATGCGATCAGCGATTCCAGGGAACATGGTTGAACCACCACTCAGCACAATATTTCCATAAAGATCCTTCCTAATATCGACATCACACTTCATGATAGAGTTGTAGGTTGTTTCATGAATTCCAGCAGCTTCCATGCCAATAAAAGATGGTTGGAAAAGTACTTCTGGGCATCTAAACCTCTCAGCGCCAATTGTGATAACCTGTCCATCAGGCAACTCATAGCTCTTCTCCACTGCTGAACTACTCTTGCTAGTTTCCAACTCTTGTTCATAATCAAGGGTCACGTATGCTAGTTTCTCCTTCATATCACGTACAATTTCCCGTTCAGCAGAGGTAGTGAAAGAGTATCCTCTCTCAGTAAGAATTTTCATCAAGTAATCTGTCAAGTCACGTCCAGCAAGGTCTAGCCGTAGGATTGCATGAGGAAGAGCATATCCTTCATAAATGGGTACTGTATGGCTCACACCATCACCAGAATCGAGGACGATACCTATTTAAAAATCCCAGATTTCAATAAAAATGTACGATGAAAGTAGGGCTTGAAGCTAGCCGAAAAGACTGAAGAAAGCAATGCAGGTCTCTCAGACATGTGCCAATTAAATTAAGCATGGTGGTCATTATTCAATAAACTTTAAAAGCTGCGTCTAAGAGTTTCTTTCAGCAACCAGTTCAAGTTCAATATCAACCAGCTTCGCAAAATTTATAGAAAGGTAGAATTATGACATACTAAACCTACAGCAATTAGCCTAACTTGAATTTACCTAAACCAAGTTCTCTGACCTAAAATGCAAGGAACAAATTGACTCTTCAAACAAACCTGTTGTACGCCCACTGGCATAGAGAGACAGAACAGCCTGGATGGCGACATACATGGCAGGCACATCGAAAGTCTCAAACATGATTTGGGTCATCTTCTCTCTGTTGGCCTTGGGATTAAGTGGTGCCTCAGTAAGAAGTACTGGGTGTTCTTCAGGGGAAACACGAAGTTCATTGTAGAAAGTGTGATGCCAAATCTTCTCCATATCATCCCAATTGCTTACTATGCCATGCTCTATGGGGTACTTCAAGGTAAGAATACCTCTTTTCGACTGGGCTTCATCACCCACATAAGCATCCTTCTGACCCATCCCAACCATAACACCAGTGTGGCGAGGTCGCCCAACAATGCTAGGGAACACAGCCCTTGGGGCATCATCACCAGCAAAACCAGCCTGCAAGCATTGTACAAAAAATAGACCAGCATCAGCCCCAAGCCCAATAATAAATGTAAAGGCTGAAATTTTCAATTACTAAGATTATAAATCTTTATTTACTCATTCCTTAAAAACAGATGGACTAACCTTGACCATTCCAGTTCCATTGTCAACAACAAGAGGTTGAATGTCTTCAGCATCAGCCATCTTTTATGATCTGCACAGTAGAAAGGAAATGATAGAGTTATTGCTCATTAACTATAAAAAATATAAAAGAGAACATTCCAGTAAGCAATTACTGTAACAATTAGCATATGAAACTCCGAATTGCATGAGAATAAAAACAAATACAGGTCTGTAAATGTATTAGTTTGATGATATATGTCCATTTAATAGAACATATGCCTATAAGGAAAAAAGTTAAACCCCACTTTACAAATTTACAAAAGCCATTATTGCCTCAAGGATATTTATAAATTTGAAAACAAAAATCAATGCATTCATTATTCCCATTGATATCATTTTCCAGATACAAATAATTCAGAACATCAAACGCCTTGGTGAATTCGAATTCTATACCAGCACATAGAGAGAATAGAGAAATTGAAATTTCTGGGACTCAATTTATGCATATACCACAGAAATTTGTGCCATACTATTTTACAATCAGTTCACTGGAACGAAAGGTAATGATAGGAGACCCCACAGACAGAACTCGTGCACTATAAACAGTTTCCATTGATTTACTTCCCAATTATGAAAACGAAAAACAAAAAGTAATTTAGTTTAGTTTTGCAAGAATCTACTACATGCAAAAAAAAAAAAACATTATAGATCAGAAGTATGCATAGCAGAAACCACGCTTAAGACTCTGGAAATAAAAGACAAGTCAAATTTTCGACACTAGAATATGCAACGATCATGTAGAAAAAAAGAACGAAACATCAAATCCAGTACATAAGAGCCACTACACATGAAAATCAACACAATATTTTACCCAAACAAAAAAATGGCAATAAAAACAGATCTATCTCCTAAAGAAACAAATAAAGAAAGGATAGTTTTGAAACCAGGACACATTATCAGAGAAACACTGACGGATAACACATCCAGAATTTTTAAAAGCGAGATATTAAAAAAGGGGTTTATTGGGACACCATGCAAAACAACATTGACTCAAAATTCAGAAGATTGAGTAGCTAAAACAGGAAAGTGAAAAGAGGAGCCAAACGCACCTTATAAACCTGAACTTGAACTCCCCGGTTTGCAGATACAGGAAGAAAAGAAGGATATCGGTTCGACGAAGCAGAAGCAGAAGCAACAGCAGAGACCGAAGGAGTATATTAGAAGGAGCTTCAGCGAATTCGTCATCTGAGCTTTATATTAGACGAGCAGAACTAAATGAGAGTGAAATGAAACCCAAATGCACATAGAAGATGCCACTATGGTCCATTTGGTTTCGGCAGTAAATGAAAATTATGAAGGGAAGGAATGTGCACCCTCCAAATGGCAAAGAAAACATTTTTTTTGGGGGGAAAATTGTAGCTTGGTTTGAGTGACATTAATTTGTCCACTTCCGAATTTGAATACTTGCCATGTGACCATAAAAAAAAAATTGTCCTTTTTTTGAAAAATACTTAAATCCTTAACATTATATATTTAATACACTTTTTATCTAATTAAATTAGGATAAATGAATTTTAATAATGTTAATAATATTAACAATAAGAGTTATTAATAAGTATTCTCCATATAAGAGACTATAACTGCTTAAATATAAAATGTCAAGTTTAAATTTGTGTGAGTGCAAGGTAATTTTTGAAAAGCTATCCTAATTAGACTCTGACAATACTCAAATATAATTCAATGAAATAGTCATATAAAAAATTAATAACAAAAAGTATATTATAAAAAATTCATATTGCTTGATATAATTAAAAATAAATACTTTAAATATATATAAGTTTTTCCTTTTTCATTATAATGGAGTTAGTTATTATATTATTTTATAATATAAGTAACTAATATAATGAATATTTTTGGGACTAAAATAGGTTTAGTATATAGTTAACTATAGATAGTTCAAATAGCGAAGGTGAAATGGGTTGTATAAGTAAAAATCAACAATTCAAACCTTCCCAATGTAAATAAAAATATAACAACTTATAATAAAATAATATTAAGAAATATTTCTGCATAATTTACAAATAAAAAAATTGTATAATCATAATATCATCACTTTCTGTATGCTTTCTAACTTCTGATGCACTTGTTATTTCAAAGTCATTTGTTGATACTTTTGTTTTCGGAGTTGGACTAGGCATTGGTTAATTATATTTGTTGTTTTTTATCACTTCTGTATTTGTTTTCTGGATGCAGACTTTTGGTATTCGGTTAATGAGATTTAAATTTTGAAGTATTCATGACAAAAAAGAAATGAATACTTTAAAAAAGTAGACATATTTATATGGGATAAAAGTCATGTCTGCATGTTTTTGGTGAGTTTGTGTGTTAGCTTGTATTCTTTAGTCTTTTTTTTTTTCTTTGGCTGCGAGTGTATTGTTTAGGTATTTTGTTTCCGAGTGTTTTACTTGGCTCCAGGCCTCCAGCAATTTGTAGTTGTATTCTGTGTTTTTGGTAATTAATAATATTATCTCTTTTGACAAAAAAAAAAAAAAGTCATGTCCATATGGACTCTGCTTCTCTCCTCTCATCAACTCCTTCGTTGCCTTCTTCCCCACCCGATAAGATTTAAATATTAAATCTATACTGTTTAAAATATATTTTCATAGTCAATTTATAAAAAATTTTAAAAAAATTAATCATTTGTTCTATATAATGTTGACTCAGTTGTAATTTAATTCTTAAATTTTGACTCACTATAACTCACTTCTTATAATTTTAACTCAGTTTTCATTTAAATGTTTAATTTTTTAATATTTATAATATCTATAATATTAGTAATAAAATTATAAAGATTAAAATTATGTTAATATTTATTATAAATATTAAAATTTTAAATATTTTTAATCTTTATAATTTTATTTTTTAAATATAATGATCAATATTTAAGTAATTGAAACTATAAGGATTAAATTATAAAAGATAAAGTTTAAAAACTGAGTTACAACTGAATTAAAATTATAAAAATTAAATTATAATGAGTTAAAATTTAGGGATTGAGTTACAATTGGGTCAAAATTACATAAATCAAACAATTATTTTTTTTTTAAAATTTTAATATTAAATTTAAATTATTCATATTAAATTGTAACTATTCAAACTAGTGATCAAATTTATTAAAATTTTTGTACTTTTTAAAGTTTTCTTAATAAACACAAAAAAATTAAAATATTAAATTTAAACTGTCTAAATTTTTCTTGTCCTTCAGCTGATTCCCTCATTGGAGGGAATCCGACTCTAGTTTGCATTCGCTTATATCTCTTAAAAATTTAATAAAATAATATAACCATTTTGAGTTTTTAAAATATGATAGGAAAAAAGTTTTTCTTCTGTTTCTTTTTGTCAAGTGATTTTTTATATTGAGAAGAAAATACAAAGAATTAAAAATTGGAGTATCTTGGCCATCCGGTAAATAGATGAAATCTCACTTGGAAAGACTTTCCTTGATGGACAAGTTAACGATTAAGATGGAATTGTATAAGATATTTTGTGAACAAACCTAGAAGTCATGGCCGCGCTCATTGCAAAATTGAGCAGCATTCTTCAAAGTCCCCGAAAATAATGTTAAAATAAAGGATTTTGAAATGTTTTGCTTTTTAGCAACTCATTGGAATATTAAACACCATATTCAAAAATAATATAACGAGTCCTTCTTCAAAATGTACAACTGATCAAGTTAATAATATTACAATTTTAAGGCTTCATTTAGTGTGATAAAAGAATTTTTAATGAAATTAAAATTAAAATTAGAATTAAAATTTAAATAGAATTAAGTTATAAAAAATATGTTTGGTATGATTGAAAGAGTTTTTAATGAAATTGAAATTGAAATTAGAATTCAAATCAAAATTAAAATTAAAATAGAATTGAGTTATAAAAAATATAATTGATATAAATAAAATTCTGATATGATTTTAATAAACATATGTATTTAAAATAAAAGACAAAAATACCTCTTTAACAAACAAATAGGATTTTTGACTTTGAAACACAGTGGTTAGAGAGAGAGAGGGGGGGGAGCGTCTTTGTTAAAAGCGGCATAGGGAGAGTCAAGATAGACCATTTCATTGAAGCAAAACCCATGGGTGGAGGTCATCAAACAAAAATGGTGTTGTTTCTATATAGATCTGAAAGCCATCATTACTGAGAGCAAAGATGGTGAGCCTGTTGTTGCTTATGCTAAGCCAATTATAGAGGAGGAAGTCGTCATCTAATGCTTGTGAAAGATGGTCACAAGAAAAAAGAAGGTATAAAATGAAGAAAGGGTAAAATAGACAAATGAGATAGAAAGCATTATAGAATCAGATTCCATATAATATTGTACATGATAGAATCTAATTTTGTCTATTTTGTAAGAATAAGGATCCTTAATAATTATATTTATAACATACTAAACACACATGATATAGATTCCATATTCAATTTTTTTTCCCTTTGTTGATTTCAAAGTACCAAACAAAGCCTGAATTAAAACGTAAGTTTGAGCATATCTGCCATGAAGTTAACATATGTGTGAATTAGCTTGTAAGGAACAACTAAAGCATTGAAGGACATTTATGTATTTTTCTTTATTATCTAACTTTGTATTTAATTTATGAAACTAAAAATGGAGAATGTGGGACTTGGGAAAGAAACGAAACAAGGAATAGCAAGTGGAGGAAGGCACGACTTTTTGGGGGAGGCAAAGGGGATCTGAGGTGGATTTGGAATCCGACAACGTTGTCATTGCCGTGATGCCGTCCATGTCCCTTCATGCTGATGCTCTGCCACGTCACTACGGGCGGCTATGATGGGCTGGCGGTTCTTCTTGGGCCCACCCTAACCGACCGTCCCTTAAAAGTCTTGCCGTACTTTATCACTACCCACCCCCCTTTCTCATTTCATGTCTCTTTCTCATTGCTTCATTCATTCCTTAATAATTTTTCAAAGTATTTCTAATATTTAATTATTATTATGACCAGCCATATAAATATTTACTAGATATAATGTAAATTGTGAGAAAGAATCATATATTCATAACTTACAAATTTTTAAGGTGATGAAAATTTAGAGACAAAAATAGTTGATTTGGTTATTCTGGAGTTAAAAAGTTATACTTTAATAAAATAAAAATTAAAAAAAATATGTGGGTAAAAGCTTTTTATTTATTTTCTTTTTTTATATATCGAACGCTCTACCATTTCAAGAGTATTTTATGAGCAATTTTATTTTTACTTAATACAATTTTGGAAAAAAAAATAATATGGTCAAATAATGGATGCACTAGTGTTTTAAATATTAAAATTAAAATTATTATATAATATAAGTACATATATATCAATATGTCATCCGATGGGGGAAAATCAATGTCAAATAATTTCAAAAATTTGGCAGAGTGCACAAATTTTCAATAATTAATATATTATTAGCACATGAATTAATCATCATTATCAATCATTAATATATATATATATATAATATAAAATTATAAACAATCCAACTATTTATATTAAATTAATGGGATAATGAAACATGTCCCTCAAGTTTGTCTCAATTATCAATTTAATTCCTTAAATTTAATTTTTATCAATTTAAATCTTTATGTTTGTCTTAGTTATTGATTTGATAATTTTTGTTTAAAGAGAAGACAACATGGTTAAGATATACTGATATAGATTAGGGAATATTAATGGTAGCAATATAAATTAATGAAAAAAATATAATTATTTAGGTTCAAAAAATAGACTCAAAAATTTTTATAAACAAAAGAACAAAATGCAACATTAATGATTAAATTAATAAAAATTAAACTGATTTAAAAATTATTTTACTCTCATTTGCTTACATATACATCCCAAGTTATCGTTTAGTGTGTAACAATCATGCTAGTTGTCATTCGAGTACAGAAATGAGTCATTGGCTTGGTACACGTAGTTTACCAAATTTTTCATTTTAATTTGGTCTTTGTTGAAATTCTTACAATGGAAGCCAACTTTTCATACATGAGTTTTTTTTTTTCCCCCCTTCGTCAAATTCCTATATAATCTGCGGTGGTTGGTAAAAAGAAAAGTAGGATTTAGCACTCCATGAATAATATCTTATCTTATCTATTTATATAGAGTAAAATATTTTAAAAAATTCATTGTTCATGAAACAGTGAATTTAACAATGTCATAAGACTCACAATTGTTTTTTTTTTTTCCAATTCAATTGCTTCTTTATCACTT